ATATTATTCATATTTATCTATAGTATGCATCTATATTTTTCGTCGCACACTGGCATTAGTCTAGTTTACGAGCAGACAACATTCTAAAAGACCAATAATCACTGATATTGGGTCAACGGAATCTCCTGTTATTGTGTTTTTCGCGAAAACGTATATAATTTCTACGTTTTGTTCCTCATAATCCGCATCATCATATATCAAAGACCAACACAGTGGTTAAGATGCCTAGATCATATCAATGCGCGCGTTAATTCTGTTTGTTTTGCTATTTATTCTTCATTCCTCTTTTTAACGAAACGTTCCTTCTCTGTGCTCATTTTTTGCGGATCTCCCTCAACCATTTATCGATACGGACCTTCAGCTCTTCGTTTGGTTTAACCTGCTCTAGGTTGAGTGGCTGCCGGTTGAACGGATCCGTTTGGTCACTTAGTAAGTGCCTTGCGATAGTATTACGATCCACAGTAACCCCGGACGACGGCAGTATGACAGGATCGGTCATTAGTGTGAAAATAAGAGGGTCCATGAATTCTTCCGGCGCATCTTGGGTGAGTTCCTCCTGTCGAGTAATCGCATTTTGAGCTTCGGTTACCTTTCGGCCCAGTTCCTCTATCTCGACACCAAGAACACCTCGACCAATCCGATTAAGGACCTTCTGTGCTTCAACGAATAATTCTGGCTTATATGAGCGTTCATCACGTACCAGAGCTTCATAGAAGCTTTTGGTTGACGCGTCTTGCTCAAATCGGCTGTCCTGAGCGTCGTCGGCATACTTAACGCCGGCCAAATGAAGGTAGGTTTGAGCTATGCTTTCGACAAGAAGAGCAGGCTTAAACTCGTAGTCTTGGAGATTCTGTACACGCAAATTTTTCTGGTCAGGACCGACAAGGTGAAGTAAAAAGAAGTTGAGCATAACAACAATACGGTCAATGAGCACGGGGTGTAGAAATAGTCGTCGCACAACAGGTGATGACGTAAGCCATGTTAGAGTGCGAATAGTGTCACGGGCCATCACGTTATGAAACCTGGCAATCATGCCCTGATGGCGAAAATTGCCTAGGCAAGAAGCATCAAACAGAAATGACAGTATGTACACGGATTACAGAAGGATTACCAGTCATCACTTTCCATTAGAGCTTTCGATTTTGTTTGTTTCAACATGTTAGTTATTTATCCAGACACCTGAGAATAATAATATTAATAATAGCATTGTCCTTCGCCGTATTTTAAAAAATTCACCTTCGTTTTGCTGCCGCCGGTCTATCGGCAGCGTTTGCCACGATGCTCGCTCTCTTTCAAGAGCCTTTAATCGCTGCATGAACTGGAAACTCTCGTCGACCAGAAAGTTAGCATCATTAATCAACAGATTGGCAAACCTGTATCAAAATTCATGGAAAAAGGTACGATCGTAGTCCATATTAAATCGCTGAACACTCTGGTATGTACTGGTAATAATGCTAAGTAGGGGTTTCATTACAAGTTAATGTGCTATTATCAGATTAGCGTGTTTTTGATGAAATAAACTACTGCTACGGAAAAATATATAAGTTCGACTTATGACACGTGGGTGTTAACTTACCTAAGAAACAGTGGCTGGTTTGTGTCTTCAATATGCAATACTGCTTCCTCCGATAGTTGCTCCATATGGCCTCGATGCTTCTTTAACTTCCATAGCTGCTCCAGTACCAGGTACATCGGACGCCGATACTGAAACTTTTCCTCGAAGGACACGCTTTGACCCGTCATTTCAATCGACACGAATACCTATCAGGTTTTCGATTTCAAGAAACATGAAAACCTTATTCCAATCTTATTGTTAATTCAGCTTTTTCAAACGTTGCAATATAACAGGCAAGAGAATGTAGATAATACAGGAGCGTGTTGCAAAGGGGGACAGTGTTATCCAGTTACACACCCAAAGGTTATTGTAAGGGTCTGGAAATACCTAGAAACGAATTAGAATTGTAACAACAGAAAATGTCAAAGAATTATACTTAGATGTGTTTCGCAACTCGCATTTTGTTCGTTTAATATGATGTGTCTAATTGTAAACTCTATATATAAAGGCCCTTATACATACATAAAAGAAGATACAATCTAGTAAAAGGAACTCCGACTTCTAAAAACCTTGTTATATAAGATAACTTTGACATTACTAAATTTCGTACTCGCTTTATTTTTTTCGTAATATTTTTATAATTTTTTGTTGTGTGATATGTAAAAATACTACAACTCCATTACATTAACACCATTAGGATAATGACTCTACGTGTAGGTAGAATTCCTTGCTTGTCACCTGAATTAAAGTTTCGGCAAGAGGATCCGAAATTGAGGTCTCAAGAAGTGCGCAAACATCCCCGTTACTGATACTTGAATTGATCCCGTGCGGATCATGTGTATTGACGGTTATTACTAGACTTTCAAGCATTTCAGCTAATTTCGCTCGCAAGTGGGGATTGTTGACACGATCGGCCGAGCCCATAAATGTAGTGATGAGTCGCAATAATGGGGCAAGATGAGGCGTGAATTGACTCAAATTGCGCTCACCAAATCTGTAACCATACATATATCATTGTCAAATAGGTTTATATATAACTATAAATAATGCGAATAGCATGGTTGATCATCCATCACTACTTGTTTTTTTTTATTTTGACAATCTGGTCATGTAAATTGCTGGAAACGACGCATGATTTGAAACTGTAATGAGCACCAAACGCTACAATTAGTTGTGAAACTGTCCCAAAGTAAAGTACCTAGTAAAAAGTAAAAACACCTACAGTATTATTCGGCATATGTATTTCGATTGATGACTTCATTTAGCCCACCTGCTGTAAAAAATTGATAATCAAATACCTTCTCGTCATGACGACGCTGTCTGAAACGTTTTCGAGTATATGTTCAGGTACTAGCGACAACCGTTCCGCCGGCGTCACTTGCTCGAAGGGTTCCCCGTCGCGAGTGGCAACCTCGACAAGCCAATGAGCTGAAGCGACAGTAAAATTCACTAGCATCTTGAAGAAGTCTGGCTCGAACAGCGTTGTCCGCATACTCTGATACCTGGTAAACGAGATAGAAAAATTACGTCTCAATGTAGTGATGAAATGATGGGGAAAACACTGTCATCATTGTAAGTACCAAGTCAGCGTTATTAATATAGTCGCATGTGCTTAGAGAGACTCTTTACCACGCTAATTAACTAACACCGTTAAGCAAAACAATGCTATAAGTACCCACCAACTCATGCATGCATTTAGCTGTTGTTCAAGCCTTTCGACAAAATCCTGTCCTTGTAAATCAATAACCTGTCCCCGGGAATCTTCGTAGATGGTTCGCATTCGGCCCATTTCTTTGTTGAGCTCCATCAGTCGGTCATGAAGCACCCTAGTGCTAATCAGTAATGCTTTGTGAGCCGCGAAGAAACACTCAGTAGGGAAATTCACCTGTGTCATTGCATTCGGGACGTTTCCCATCAATACATTAAATATATCACCCGGTATGAGATCTAACAAGGCAACTTCATTTTGAACTCACTTTGTTTTCTGTTGCCCGTGCAGAACCGTATGACGACAAAATTATGATAAAGTACAAAAAACAACCGAACTGACAATTTTAAAAGTGTTGCCTTCAAATGCGGCAGTAATTTGTCCAAATATACTTATCGCGATATAACTTCACATAGAACTTACTTGTTTTGTGAGCTTATCTATAGGTTTTTTCGGTAGTAGTGTCGTGTCGTTCTCAAGGCCCCGAAGTCGTATTTTAACTCCGTCGTAAGTCCACGCTCCATAACTGAAATCTGCTTTGAGCACTTTCTCAGGGTCACGTACTTTGCAGAAAGGCTGCGCTAAACGGAGCAGAACCGCGGTCAGATTCATCGCAAATCCGTGAGAAACTTGGCCTACTTTCAGACCCAACTTCGAGCGGCTGCTGCAAAGCTACACATGGAGACGACGCGTTATTAATAATGCGTTGATGAAGTGTTTTTTGGCCATATCCATAAGGCTGCGCATATGGTTAACACGGCTTAAACTGCTACTTACGTCCAGCGCATATCCCACCCATTCGATGACCTGAGCTCGTATTGCTGGACTAATTCGTAGCAATTGGTCAATCATTTCAAACAAGTCATTCTGCACGCGACGGGCGGGCAGCCACAAATTTTGTTCTTCAATAGCCACGTCCTGAAGTGTTGCCGTCATCATTCTAGGAACAAAAATTAAGGCAACACACATTGAGATAGCAAACAGGGTAGGTCTCAGATGCAAAAAATGTTTTTAAAGTGTTCGGTGTCAAAGCGAAGCCATCTTACCGAAGACTTAACCATTAACGGAACCTTGTTATTTATGACTTTTGCACCAGGCATATTAAAAAAACTACGTCTATTAAAAATCATAACTTAAACCATACGCACCTTTCGAAAATACCCCAACCCGTTTGTCCGCCTTCGACGCCAAGGTATGATAATTTGAACAGGGCTCCCAGTAACGAACTTTCCAGCTCCGCGATCGCCTGCATCTCCTCGAAAGCTTGAGGACGGGCCGACCGTGGCTGATGAATTGGCTGTGCTGCAAGCATAGCTTCGGCGAGCGGCTCGTTTTGCATAAATAATCTTGCTAATGAAAAAAGACGATGTTGCTGCGGTGACATAATGCCCTCATCGGTGACAGCCTGAGCGATAGCTGTTAAGGATGGCTTGATTATGTCCTACATAACAAAATAGAGTGCTGGGAAATATAAAGATCGGTCTTGGCTATATTATAGGTTCTAGATTTTCAATCTCGAACCTGTAAGTTTTTTTTTAGCTTTTTTATATAGCTTTTTATGTAGCTTTTTTTTTATAGCCCAGTTTTTTTATGGCTTAGCTTTATATTTAGAAAGCTAGAGTGTCGCAACCTTATGGCGCAAATACAGCTTCAATACGTTTTTTGATACCCCCAGCATAATAGATGTAATATTTCACTATGAAAATTATCCCTGACTAGTTAACTTGGTAACGCATAAACGAACCGTGATTTATTACCAGTGCAGGACAGTGGGCTATAAGGGACAGAAAAAAGGGCCACACCATTCTTTCTGGCAAAGGAACGCTGATTTAAAATTTTATTATAATCGAGAATTCTGATTTTTTCAATGCACGCGGGTCTGGAATATAGTGCAGTTCGCATTATTGGACTTCTGAATTTCAAAAAGGAGGTTATATAAGACAACTAAGTGCTTTTTTCGCAATTTTGTTGAACAATAAAGCAGCAAAATAACTATCTTGTTTTTTAGCACATTTTCGGCAGTCCTAAAGTTACATTTTAAAAGCTAGACTGAAAGCACTCATATTTTATAAAAGCGCTTACACTAAGAAACAACCATTTTTTTTACCAGCATTTTAAAAATATATATAGACAATATTTTAAGAATAAAGACACCACATGCCGTTGAATCTAATTCTAAAAAAATTCTAAAAATTCGAAATAATAAATGATCTCAGTACTTAACTCAGCTTAGTGGGAATGCGTATATGTATAAATATGTCAAGTCAAGCAAATGTATCGTATTTTCTTACTCGTTGTACCATATGTGGTAGTTGTCAACAACGTGCCAGATGTAGTCGCTTTTAAATAACATGTTGACGACGATACAGGCATAGTGCACTTTTCGCACAAAACAATATTGCGCTATAGTATAAGTAGTCATGGATATGGATCACAATTTATATGATAAATTGTGATCCATATCCATGACTACTTATACTAACTATATATGATATAGTTATTTATGCCTGAACTATGCGTTACTACAATAGTCATATAGGCTTCAGGTCTCGAAATTACTATTCCTTTCTTACTTCTTGAATGACAGGCAATACGTGGATGTGTCAGTGGTTAGGCCATTTAAAACTGAGCTCCACACTGCCCAGAAAAATTTCATATGGGCCGAACTATACTGTTTAATCTGCCTAACTTAGCCGTAGATGATTATAAAGCCTGGCATTTTCCAGTTAGAATCACAGTTTCCTCTATAAAAAAAAAAAAAAATTGTTGCTAGCTTTATTCAATGGCTGGCTCTTTTAACACAAAGTTAATAATGGCCCAAATCGCCCAACCTCTGGCCTATATAACCCCATCTTGTGGGACTATATGGGCTATATAATGTCTTTGAAGTCATATTTTTAAAACATGGCTGGCTAGAAGCAAATCCATTAAAGCCACATAACAGACGAAAATACTAGTATATTTTTTTTTTCTCTTTTATGGCATCTACTGCTCTTAATGATATCGTGAAGTAAATTTTGGCTTGCATAGTGCTACCCTGCCGTACAAGTTTTACAACCATTCGAAAAAAATCGTGTTATAGCTTGAGTACTCGTTGGGAGCCACGGTCTCGTCAAAATGACTGTACAACAAATAAAAAACTGTATTGGGATGTACAAAACCTAGATCTCGAGAGCTAATAATCTAGGGTGTATTATCGAATGCATGAACAGATCATATGATTACTGCATTTGCATTTTTGTTGTACAAAAAAATTTTGTAAATTTACCTTTAATGTAACTTCCTCTCCTCCGCCTTTATAGCGTTGGTCCACTATGACACTCAATTCCCTAAGGAAGTCTGCAATGCATGAACTTCGTTCATCCATTACAATAATCTGGAGCTGCTGTGCATGCGAAGGTTGCGGCGGACCTGGGTAAATAACCTCATTCATGAGACAGGTGACTGCTTGTTCCAGCACGACGCGCCGCACCTGAACCGCCACATCGTGCGGGAGTAGATCGCTTTTGAATGTCCTGTAAAAACACACGTACATATACAGGAACGGAGAAGCAAGGAGCATTTTTACACAACGAATCGTGAGTGAATGTTCATAGTTGAACGTTTCATTATAGCCAGTTCACTAAATACCTCGAGAAGGCGCGTTATGATGTGAGAGCTGTTGTCGTTTCCAAAAAAACTGAATCGCTGTGTACGGGTATTGTTAGGAATGAGGTATTTCACATTAATGTTTTGGTTAACATTAAATCCAGTACAACAATCCAGCTCAAACTCTCACTCGTTGAATGAATATTGTCTATCTAAAAAGCCAAACATGAAAAACGTAACGGCGTTATATTACCGACTACCCTTTGTGTACCGAGTACCGAGAGTGCATTCTAGGGTTTCTAAAGGAATTTAGGAAACAAAAATACTAATTCCACGCATTAACATATACGTGCCCGCGCTCAGAAGTAAATATCCACATGTATAAATAGATAAAATTGCATCATAGTATCCTTCTATTGCAATTATACTGAGACCATATAGTTAGATGTGAGGCAGCTGTTATTACAAAGGTAATAAAAATTTTCTTCCGATTTTTCGTTCCGAATTCGGCTGTGAATAGTCGGGATTGTTTTGACTTGGTGTTTCCTGTCAATCTGACCTTTGGTAGCACCCGTAGAGATAGCAAACGTGCCGGGCATCATTTCGATTCTTGGTCAATTCTGCCGGTTCCATCATAAGACGCTCGAACACCGCCTCGTTCATTCGACGCACCGTAAGACGCGTGTTGCTCTCTGCCATACCTTCCAAAAACAATAGACAAATAATTTCTTAAATCAGATGATCACTCTGACATAATATACTTCAGTGCCAATAGCACGAAGCTAGTTATAGACAACCTTCAAGGCATAAGCGTAACATTTTTCATCATCTACAGATAATGGCTATGATCACTTGAATCTGCAATAAATCTGAGTGTAGAAATTTGTAAATAATTACCTAGTAAAATATACATGTGAAGTGCGAAGTTCGGCTAACAGCCAATGACTTTCAGTTGATCTGATCCATTATCAAAACGATTGACTAAGATAGTCTAATGAATATCTCTTGCAGTTCAACGCGAGTTAAACGAAAGCTATCAGATTTTTGGCAATATTCATCAAAATTCTAATTCTTATTGCGAAGTCAAATGAGATCCAAATGTTTGGTTTGATCGTTTAACTTAAAAGTATTTGTTTTGGAAAAAACCCTAGAATTTCTTCTAATAATCTCCTAAAGAAATAATCTAACGAAAGTGAAAAACATGTTTCCATTGTAAATGAAAAATCTGGATAATAAATTTCCCTTTCTTTTTATAAAAAAATAATATTTAAATTTTGCTAATAAGAATATCTTCGAATCACGAAAAAATTCTGAAAAGGAAGCTATTACTAATTTAAAAAAAAAGTACTCATACCTTTAAACGTGTTTTAGAGTTCTCGTTAAAATCATTGTTTTAGACCTTTTGGGGTATGAAGTATATTCTAAGCTGTTCACTATAGACCTCAGAGGCATAAGTGGTATATCACAGCGTTTTCTGCGAGCTTCGCTTCTCACCTGTTTTGCTATTAAATGCATCTTAGTTTACCTATAGAGACGTATAAGGCTAATTTCGTTTATTGTAAAGGTAAAGGCGCACAGTCGCCAGATTATTTCCTAATAGCGTAGCATAAATTTATCAGCGCAAAAATCGATTTTCCAAACATTGGTGTACCTTTGTTTTCAAGCCCGGAAAACGAAAAATAAATTGCTACTTTCGGTTAACGATCAGCCAAATTTATATTACGCTTTGTATTAAAAACAAACTTTTCCTTTCATTAAATATTTACCCAATCGGGTCAGAATTCACTCATATGCACTTCCCATGGCACATTTCCAGCTAGCTTCAAAAAACAACCTCTAAAGGGACAATACTGTTCCCGAAAACTTACAAAGCGCATATATATATATATATATATATATATATATATGTATTGCAGTACACATGCTGGATAAAAACAAAGAAAAATCGTTTTTGCAATTTCAGTACGCAACTATTGGTTATAAGTACCTACATTAAATCAGTTTACATAATAATAAGGAAATCCATAAAAAATAGTAGGGTGGGTTAACTCAGCGTTGTTTATTAACCGTAATAAGTGACCATGTCGCCATCCCCCTTCGCTCCACCACGTGAGCGACATCAATCATCAGTGAAGTGACAAGGCGCCTATCGAAATCTATGCCCTGCCTATAGCGCAGTTAGATTCTCGCAGTTAGATGTCTTTATAGTCAGTTCTTATCATAAATGCACTCTAATTTAGATAAAGATATAGTCACATCAGCCCTCATTGGGTAGATATTTTTTCATGCATTTGCTTATGAATATTGGTTGCGCGTCGAACAAACGTGACCTCAACCCAAATTCGCGTCATTTGTGTATATTAAACATTGACTTATTTGAATGGCGTTGTTATTGAAAGCGACCCTCTTAACCTCGATAACTGGAGCTTACTATTCATATGACATTAATATTCGTATAATGCGTTACCTCGTTTAATGCACAGACTCGATAATACGCTGGACACTCAGGTAATCTTTTGCGTGTTTGTAATATTTACCCTACGAATGTTGACTACAACTAACAATAGCAATAATCAAACTAAGTTACGCAGCGAAGTAACGTGATAATGACTGATCACTTGACGCGAACAGGCAGTACACAGTGTTTACTTACCTTGCAAGAAGACACATTTTTCTTTGCCCGGCTGAGCACTAACCCGTAGCACAGTTTCCAGTCGGCTCTCGAGCACTGCTGAGGCTTCATCGTCGCTGTTGTCACCGACTGAATTTTTCTCGCTTGAACAGTGATTCTGGCTAACGGCATCCGCTACCTTGGCTGCCTGTTGCTGCGAAGGCTGCCGAATTTGCTGTTGCTGATCTGTGCCAACTGATCCTGTCCCGTTTCCGGCCACTGTGGAGGGAAGCAACGACATGAAGGGATTGTCCGCTGGCATTTTTTCGCTAGAGGGGACTATGAAAACCGTCAAATAGCTGACACGGGACGGACGCCGTGGCTGCTAAACGTGTAGAAAAATAATTCTTCCTTATTCCGTCGAAAAATCTGGAGGCACACGGCACAGATATGCGTAGATTGATCCTAGTTACTCCAGGACATAGCAATTAGTAGGCGGGTCAACCAGTAGTTTCACACGCAACCACCTGATTTACGCCGTTTAGCAAACAAACTCACAGGTGCACACACACGCACGCACGCACGCACGCACGCACACACACAGTGAAATAGGCGATTGGGTTATGGTTTACTGCACTTGGGCGGTCAGATAGACCCGGACGAAGGCCAAAGTAATTGCAGCAACAGCAGCTAGAGCACGGAACGCAAGAAGGACACTGGCTCTACTCCCCCTCGGATTGTCGACGAGTGATGAGTGTGTCAAAAATCGTTCGTGAAACAGCGAGAGAAAGAGAAGGAGCGAGAAAAGAGTGAGGGAATGAACTGAGATCGATCGTCACAAGGAAAATAGCGGTAGCACAAGCCAGCCAGCCCCGTCAGCTGGACAGTGGTAGATTGCTTTCTCGGTTAAGCCAAAACCATTAGGACCAGAGGGAGTAGCCACAATAATGAAAGAAACGACGACACAGACGTCAATTGAGCGCAGCACTGGGATTGCTAGCAGTCGACGGTAGACCGACAGACGAATGGACAGGTATATCGAACGAACGAACAAAACATATAAAAAGCCAACGAGCAGACGCATTCGGAATCATATTGGAAATCAGCAGTTGGTAAACGCTACTTCGCTTATCAGCACCATTAATGAGTTGAGGAAAGTTGGAAAAGAGAGAGCTAGTCTAACGCTATAAGATTGATAGTGTCAAGCTGAGTTCGTGTACCCCTTGCACGGATGAACTTGCGGTCATTAGGTGTTGTTAGTGTACAGCCTGAGAAGAAACACGGCCGGCATAGAACATCACATTTAAATGCACAAACGGCTGATACTGGTTGTAAACAAAAGGGAGAGGGAATATCGCTAATGCGAATCAACATGGGAATTGCCGCGCCGGATTGAGAACAGACTGATAACAGCTACAATAAAACATAATCGTGTTCTGTACCTGGACGATACTTGACTGTGTTTTGGAAGCGAGGCGACATTCGGCTTGTTAGTTCGTAGCACATTTTATAAGATTCGACGGCCTAAAGCAAATAAACGTCACGTCCTAACGCTTTGAAGAATTACTATTGCATTATAATGGTACCAATATATAATTTTTATTAGGATACAGACAATCAAAGCACATAAGATGCCACTAAAACTAAAAAAAAATTCAAAATCGAAAAGTAAAAGTCTAAGTGTGCGGCTTAATAACATTTACAAGCATATCTCGCGTTCACTAAGAAACTGCTGAACGGTAGTGTTTTGGCTGCAGTTCTAGGAAGTAAACCGATAATTCGTAAGGTATTTAAATATCCGAATTTCCTTTGTTTATAAAACACACAATGAAGTAACACAAAGCAATTATTACTATAACACGTAGAAAATAAATGGATAGAACGCCTCTGGCTAATTCATACCGAATTATATGCCGTGTTGTAAATGACGGTTTCTAGGCAATCTAGATTATAATAATAACTACGTTTCCGCTAATTGCGATAAACGGAACACACAGACTGTAGCTCTGATTTGGAATCCCTGTCACGGTGCACTGGTAATGCGTTTACCTACTAAGCCTAGAGACAGTAACTATGGTTCGAAACCAACTGTAGAGATGCTGCACTAATCCTACCGAGTTGTCCATTTTGGACCTCGTGACTACGGAAGGTGCAGATTATGAAAAAGAAGGTCCAGATGGCATGAAAGTGTCGGAAAAAAGTAATGCTAGTTACCGGGCAAGAGGGGTGGAGAACTTTACACAAGAAAGACCGCCGCGCAAAAATACGAAAGATCTGATGTCTGACGTAAAGGAAGGAAGGCGAGATGGATTGCTTCATGGCTCATCTAATAACGGGTTATAGAGATCTTGATGACCTTAACGTGGCATCCACTGTCCGTAAGGAGAAAGAGGCGATGCGGTTCACATGCTTCCTGCCTGTCCTGGCCTAGAATAGGCTAGAGCTGCAGCCGTAAGCAAAGTAGTGTCACAGCGGAGAAAAGAGAGTGATCTGAGAGCTAAAAATACGCCTGTTATGCCCTGAACAGATCTGAAACAATTTGTGGAATACGTATATAACATGACGAACGCTTGTATAACTAGCGCTGCAACAACAAAACGAGAAGTGTTGGAAAAGCAGGGGCGACTCGGCGGTGTCAGGCTAAGGAGGCTGCTAGTAACTGAGACGCTACGATAGCTACAACACTGTCGCATTCGGTGGAAGAGTGAGAGACAAGAACTCGCTCAGGACATAACGCATCGGGAGAGGAGGCGTCCGACAGGAGGATGGACTGTGACGCAGCTAGTGGAATTATAATAACTGACTATCACTAGCGGTCCCTGAAAGCTCAAGTTAAAGTAATATTAAGCTAAGTTCCGAATGAAGGCCCAAGAGATCGGTGTGCAGGTTTCCTTAACTAGAAGTCCCACAGTGCCAGATAAATAACTTAGCCATGAAGTCTAGTCTGCATTTGCCTTTAATCTGTTTGAATGAGGGAGTTCGAAGGTAACTGAAAAATTATTACAATAATGTAAGCAACTATTGAAAGCGAAGTATGTAGTCCGAACTAGCCTGATAGGCATGGCACATCACGCCACCGATCTACGCTCCATTGCCTTGGTTCCTGGAAGAAAATGGTGTGATGCGAGCCACACATATAGCCTAGTAAATATGCCATAAAAAGGGTCCTTCTCCTTATAATAGCTCTGCTTAAAGACTACAAAAAAATTTTAAATCCAACAGCATTTGTTTCCTTACGATCTCAAGACGACGTACGTAAATTGTAAGTTCTAAATCAATACATTTGGCTAGGATCGTTCAATATTTACAAGGTGATTTACCCAGCGCTAGGCAGTGCGGGATCTTCCCGATACACGACTTAAATACCGACTGAAGGTTTTTGACTAGCTGGGTGTTTCCCGCTTATGTCAGCCTTGTAAACATAGGACATTGCTGATGTGTGTGACCGAAAAGCAAATTATTAGTCAAAAAATCGTCGTCACTTATTATTTTTAATAACATTTTCCCACAAACTTGGGTAGATAAATAGAATCGATCACTTTTGTGAAATATTTGCTGACCTTTGTTTTACTAGAAACGGCTAAAAGTAGAACTTCTCTTTCGTTTATTGCACAAAAAGTTCCATTTTCTACTCCACCATGTCTGGTTTATATACTTCCTGTACATGACAGACATAGGCCTCTTGATACTAAGACACCTTTTGTCTGAATGTTGTCACTATTACATTTGAGATTGTTTTGCATGTGGCACTAAGACCTTCTTCTGTGAAACAACTCGTGAAATGCCAACTATAGGGATGACTTCTGTATGGCTTTAGCGAGAGAAATCATTAAGGTGCAGAAGGCATGCTAGAAATGACGACGAAGGGTACGTTTTGTAGCAATGCGATTCATAGTATTTATGTGAAATCAGGAACGCGTAACACTTGGCGGTGAATAAATAACAATTTTGTTGTTGAAACTGAAGCAGTATTCCAGAGTATGAGAATCAGCGGAATGGTTCACATTCAGGACTCCAACAAAACTGACACTGAAGTTTAAGTAGTTTAAGGTTTCTTTTTATATCACACTAGAACGTCAAACCGACATGCATACGCAGATATAGGCATTAAATATCTTTTCACTTCAGTTTAATGCGCCAAAAAATAGTGCACAGTGATGAAGAGAGGCACTGGGCATCGTAAACTTGGAAGCAACAGTATCGAAAGTATCTATCTTGTTCCAATGCATTTTGGAGTCCTACTGCTGCTTACTTCGAATATTGTAGCATATCGTAGAAGATTCGAAATATAAATACAGGCTATCAGGGTATATATAAACCCGGAAATAATATTGAAAATGGCTCCAACGGTCTTAATTTTGACCGGTTGGTATATCCTGATAGAAAAATTATAACATAAGGGACACTTCTAGGAAAACTAATGTTTGTGCTTGAAAAGTTGAAAAACTGTCCAAAAGACTTAGTTTAGCCCGCTAGTAACAACAAAGGCTCGACATATTTGCGCAGTATTACTTACGAAAGTATTACTAATAAGCATGTTTTTTAGTTACCAATGAAGAAATATCGTATATCCGGAGTGTTATCGTTCTGTGTAATAAGTGCACCTGCCTTAATAATTATTAAGCTCCAATTATTAGTACATCTGCGCCAGAGACATATGGAAAGAGTAAAGTACGAATCTTCGTGCCGTCGCTAACGAAACAGAATCTCTAAGTAAGCGTTTATAGTCGAGGATATTTTCCAGTATGGTGTATTAATGCTGTTGAGATTATTTATCTGGATAATATATACAATCGATATGTCGAATATTTATTTATATATTATGTAAGCTTGCGTGTGTATTAAAGTTACATTCGTCAAGTTCCACTTGCATGTTTGGTGAATAAGAGGTCGAGGTGTGTTGAGCCAAGCCATGGAGCGCATGATGTGTAGTATGATTCGCTGTTACTCGGTAAAAAAATACCAACCGAAAAAAAATTATCCTAGTAAATAATTTAAAACCATGAATGGCGAAATATAAGGTTCTAAACAAAGTTTCCGCGCTTTTTAACTGGAGAAAAAAAATCACGCCTTTAGGTCATTACCTTATGTATCTCCCATCATCGTTCACGATCTTTCCTATCTCTCCACCAAACTATCTATGACGTCTTGCCAAAACGTAGCGGGTTTCGTTTCGCTGGAGTTTTCATATTTTAAGTTCTTGATCCAAGACCATGAAAATGATTGTCTCAAAAGATGAATATCTGTCGGCACAGGGTCTGGAAAATACGAATGGTGCAGCAAGAGCTTTCATTTAAAATCAAGAAGGGCAACTTTGAGGATCCTCGCCCTCGCGGAGGCCTCGCGCTGCGATAGAGCAGGGTGTCCTGACCTCATTTGTCAGATCTTTTTTTTTTGAATAGCATGGCTAACTCGATGTAACTGGGCTATATAAATGGGTCGATCAAGTATCTGGTTTATAGGAAACAACTACCAGTGAATCGGCCCTCAAACTTGGACACTCGGTCAAAGCGGAGAGCGTCTTTACTGTCTGTTATACGCTTCTTAAGCTTCGTAAAGTACTCGTGACAACACAAAACAGTCAGTAACATAAAACACCTGGACCGAATTAGATTAGGCTGGGGAATATGCATTTCACTCGATCCTGATACCACCCTCTAAATTTACTAGAAAAAGATTAGGTCATTAGCCTTCTGGCCTAAAACTGATCCATGAATTTCAGCTTCTTTGCACGAAGAACTCTCTGATCCAAGTCATATTGTACTTACGTTATGAATTCAGTCCAAGTATTTATCAAATTTTCGAGAGCACCGAAAGCACTTAGAATACGCATGTAACTTAAAATCGGTAAAATTCGAATGGAAACCTATTGAACACGAATTCACATCAATAACATTATAATGTGTTCCATTACTGTCTAGTTATCTAGCTAAGGTGTGTAATTATCCAGGCCTCTGTGTCTCCTGTTTATGCACGTGATTTAAAAACATGATATCTTTATAATGTCGTCTGCTTACTAATACCAACAGTTAAAACGATTTCAGCTGTTTTGCCTAAGTCTCGAATAATTACGAACATATATCATAGATCTAGAGATATCTTCCCGTATAACTGGTGGGCATGTAACTGCAATCGCGTTTGCCGCATTCAAGTCGATGCTAATAAGCAATTAGATGGCTATAATAAATAATACGACAGTACTGTCCTCATGCCATCAGTTGATAATTGTTCGGGATTTCGTTCAGAGATGTTTGAGTGGCGACGCAGAAGGTTCGTAGTAGTTGTCGTCGCAGCAATGTCACTGGATGAGCCGCTTCCCGACAGAGCTCCATGACAGCTAGGCATTACCAGATGGTAAATTTCATGGTTTCTATGCGCAAACATGAATTAATGACGCTCCGCGCTGATGTCTCATGTCAGACCTCTTCTAAGTAGTTACATTGACTGCTGTACGAGTGGAAACACCAATGGTAATTTCGTGACAACAAGTACCTCCTGTGACCTGCCACATGCCAGTCAATAGTTCGATTGACAATGAAAGCGGGGCGAGATTGTCGATATATATTGTCGCATCGCTTACTGTCAGAACACTTTTGGAGACGAACATACGAAAGGGATCAGCGTGTCCCAAAGAATATAGTTAAAATAGAAACTTCGCAATCGACAGTTTTCGTGTTGAGTCTACCATACAATACCAAAACCAATGCGCGGTTACTTTAAAAGTCAATGGTGCATGTTAGCTATCTACAGTATTTCATTATCAGTTTTGTTTGTTTCGCCTTACGAAGATGAGGAAAATAACTCCGGTGGAGGATGCAGGGCCTATAAGGACAAAGTGAGCGACCGTTCATTTATTCGTTTGTCTCTAATTTGCGCTTATCACAGGCCTGATTCTGAACCTTACGTCGATCTTTGTCCTAGTTATTTTAGCGATTTCTACTAATATAGCTTATTTGTATTCACGAGCTAGATAAATCTCCTTTACAAAACTTTTATGATCTGAATTACAATTGAGATATTAAGGCATTGAGCACACTGACAAATTCAGGTGAGACTCGAATACGCAATTAGTACTAGTTCCTAGCACTTAGTCAATCGCAGCTCAAGTGAATCTTACTAGAACAATGTCTAGCTGGTTGTAGTAGGACTTCGCGATAGCGGCAAGTTTCGAGAAGAATACAAAAACAATGGATACATATAGTGACTAATTATTTAGGCCAAACAACGCCAGTACCTGACGTCAAATTCGAACTGTTCATTTTAACGACTGTTTAATGGCCTTGAGTGATATTTACTTTGCGTACTTTCCTGCAAACGTTTCTTCAAAAATACCGAACTTTTACAATTGGTACAATGGCTAACATTAATGTGATGCTCTTTTAGTGCAATGAAAAAAATATTGCCTGTTGTGAAGGTCTTTGTTGCGTCTACAGTGTGTGTCAACCGCTAGAATCCGATCTGAAATGGGGTAAGCGCAGACCTCATCCAACCATCGTAGAAGACCGCCGAAGTCAAAGCAAATCGATCTTGGTGAATAGCACTGCACTTTTTAAATTAGACAGTACTTCGAGAGGCCAAAGTAATTATGGGAAGCGGTAACGAGACTGGAGGACACTCAAGCGTCAAGACAGCCTAGTAGGCCTGCTCAACTCTGGACGCAGGCAGGTCCAATAAAGCGAGAAAGGCGTAGCCCAACCTCAATGCACTTTATAAATATGCAATGGTCATTTAAAATTCCAGGTGGGATTCGAAATGGTGCGCGCGAATTGCCAAATTGGAGAGAACGTGTCTAGCTTGTACAGTCTAGCTGGACGAATCAAAATCCTTCATAATCGTGTTCAGAATTGCGGAAAAACAAACTGTGAGATAGGTTTGCAATCTGTCCTCAGGAATTTCGAGGTACAACATCGGGTGTAGCTTAGAGATTATCTAATAAGAAATTTACCACACCAGAGGTAATTGGGTGTTAAGACTGTCGGAAGGTCACATCGATTCTCAAATCTGTTTCGTCTCTTGCTCACAGTAGCGAAATTAAAAACGACACTTGACGTAACTAACAATACGTATATTTGTGCATTCGTTTGCGGCTTGCAGCCGACTGAAAGCAATATTCCTCACAGAAAATTTACGATTAACCCCTCATACATATATTTTCTCCGTATAGATATGATCCTCATACGGATTGTTCATCGGCTAGCCACCTTTTATTCATTATGCAGAACATATATATATAATCTAGCAATTTCTCTTTTAGTACCGGAGCTTTCATACACCCTAGCACAGATAAAAGTGTAATTTTGAAAACAGGATTCAAAACTAACCACTCGGCATCTATCTATAATCTATAATGTGTTCAGTACGTGTTCAAACGTATTTTATGGTTAAAAGTCTTGAATATTACCATTTAACGATCATTGCTACTACTTAATAGTCCACTTATTTCTAATGCAATACAAATTGAGTCACGAGTAAGGCTACTTTGTTATGTAGTCAGTATCTAGGTATAATCGGCTATGAGCATAAACTCGGGCAAAACATGTTGGTTACGTGTAGATATTTATCGCACGATGGCCTTGGTCAGAACTTTTAAATCGTAGTTTTTGTCTCTTCTTTACAAATCTTTCCAGAAAAGCCTTTGGTGGCTTGCTTTATAATTCCTGTCGCTCTGTAGTAACGATGTCGCTGTAGTCCTCCAAAATAAGCTGGCCTGCCTTGCTGCCGATCATAATTGCCGGAGCGTTCAAGTGCCCGGTGGTTATCTCTGGCATTATTGAGTTATCAGCTATTCTAATACCGCGTACACCGTGCACCCTGTAAAACAACACCAACAACGTGCCGAAGGTGTACACTCGTTTCCGTATTACATATGTGCTTCTGAAGTCAAACATCTTGAACACGTTCGCCATACGAAACACACTGAACTAACGTATTTTATGCCAAATTAATTTATGCTAAATTAGAAGGAACAGCATGGTTTAGGACCCGGACGCGAAAAAAATTTGCTCAGATATTTGCTCTTATTAGCTAACCCTTAAAGCAATCCTCGATTTCTTGCTTACAATTAAGAGAAAGCGGCATCCATAATAGAATTTATAATATCTTGTAGTAAGTCTATAAATTTAGTTAATTCCATTGTTCGAACTAACCGGAGTCGCTCGTCAACAACAGCTAGCGGGTCTTTTCCAATCCTGCAAGTTCCGCACGGATGGAACGCATTCAAGGTATGATGAGTTGCCAGACAGCGCAGGTAATCATCGGAGAAGAGCTCTAGATGCGCGCAGGAGGGAAAAGGCCTTTTGTAAAGGGTAACATTAACTGAACGCATTCGATTTGAACGCATGAGCTGCAGTGCTTGCCGACCAGCTGAAACGAAAGCGGAATGAATCTATTAAAAATAGGTACCTATAATATGCAGTATTTCGTGATCATTTGATGACATTAGATATATAGTAAATGTACATATACAGTACATATCTCATAAGTACACGTTTATACACTGATAGGTCAACTAACCTGATTAAAAGTAAGTCATTTATGTACTTGTTAGTAATGGCCTCAAATAGTATTATTACCTTTAACGGCTTTTTCAAGGTCAGCAGGATGGCTATAATATTTAGGGTCAATGTACGGTTGCGCTGTAGCGTCAGAGCTTGCTAAGCGAACTTCACCACGGGAATCAGGATGCTGGATAAGTACGAACATGGACAAAGTACTTTTACCATGTAACGGTCCGTAAAAATCCATAAACACCTATATGCATATAATGCAGAGGATATTACAACATATAACGCATTTCCTACAGAAATATCTTAGGCGTTATGTTTTGCTTATCCGATCTACTTAAAGCTGAGCACCCGCTAGTCTCAATCGTTTAAACGTATCCGTCGCACTGAATATTGCATTTGAATAGAGATTCACTTACCAGATGCTTTGTTAACTGAATGAGAACATTCGGCTAAGCTGGATTGGCTTTTCTGTTTTCGTGACAATTTTAGTTACTTGTGTTATGTCAGAACGAACCTACGTTTAGGTATTTGTCGAAGGACTTATTGCCATAGGAGGTTTAGCTGGAGCGCCTTACTACGTGAATTCATCTCGCTTGATTTCTATTTTTTTTTCTCTCGTTTCTTACTTCCCCGATTTTTTATGTCTGGTATATGAAATATGATTCTTTGTTATGTGACCCACCTTTCTCTATGTTTCGAGTTTTACATGCGGTATCACCGCTGGGCATGTGATCAGCCGGCTGGCTCCCAGCACGAAACGCATCTGTGCTCGGACGCGAACTTAGACAAATAGTGGTCAACGCTACCCTCTAGGCTGGATTGGTTACAGTATATCTATCACTTGCAAACTGCATATTGCGTACTTACGTCCTTACGCAAATTGGTTTCATACACGAAATTCTTTATTGCTATTGGTATAATCTCGGCATCGGCTCGCTTCCCGTTGTCTCCGGTTGTAACGTACATCAGGCCCATCTGAAGACCGGATGGATAGGCAAAGGGTCCTGCAAAGTTTGAGTCTGAACATGTAGCTCTTTCCTGAACGAAAAAGCTAAAAATAATCTGTACTAATTCCAATACTAAAGGTAGGAAAAAGGTATGCCTACGTTGTACGCATGCTATGGTTTACAAGCTGTAATAAGATTATAGCATTTTTATGAAATGCATTGTTCTTTCTTTCCAGAATTTTCATTTCTTATAGAACTAAAATTATGTCAAAGGTGGACTTGGAATCAAATGAGCACGGTCATTTCTTGTCATCACTAGGGCTAGATCACAATCTACGCACTTTTATAGGTTTGCAGCTTACTTAAAACGCACGGACTATTCTTGTAGTTTATTTGTAAGGTTAAATCTTTCACAACACTTATTTGCTATAGCAAATAATAATAATGGCGTTATGGATTGCGCGTTTTTGCAACCGCAAGTGTCCGCTTAAGGTCACTTAACACTGAAAAACATATACCAGTCTGGTTAACAAGCCACTGATGAAGGCCTTCAACGCTGTGTAAATCAGGAATTCCTTCATCGGGGATCTCTGCAAGGAGCCCGGTGAAGCCGTAGTGATCTTGAAAGTTCTTGCCGACTCCCGGTAGGTGATGTACTACAGGTATCTGATGGACAGATTTATTAACCATATCAACAAAATGTATTTTTTTTTTTGTAAGCGAGAATATTATGTGGGCCGTTACCTTTATGTATCCGTATATACTAATTATTGCAACACAATATGCATCGCCTGCGAATTCTGACTTATTCAAGCGTCGTAGTATATTCGCATTTTGTCGGCTAGATCTTGCTAAGCTAAGATTAACAAGTGACTAAGGGTTAGTTTCAGTATTTTACACTTATGAAAATACCAAATGTCTAATTAAACTGTGTGGGCGTAATAATGATGAACGGCACAGACTTTTCTGGCTTGTCTGCGACATTGTTCTAGACATCGTGCTGTCCTAACATACCTGGTGTTGCTCAAGGTGTTCGCGATCGCCAATGCCCGAAAGCAGTAGCAGTTGAGGGGTCCTTAATGCCCCTGCGGAAAGAACGACCTCGCGGGAAGCACGCACTATTCTTTGCAATCCATCACGAACAAGCAAGACTCCCACAGCATGACCATTTTCTATGAGAACCTGCATAAATATAATGTGAAATGAGATGCGCGCAACGTAACAATCAACGATACGTTTAAACTTTTTTTTTAACAATTTGGCAGCTGTTATCTTATGTCGAAAAGGCGATTGACTAAAACAGTGACAAATTCGTTTGCCTCGATTAATTATTATATTAAGGTATACTTATATAATCCTCGTTATTTGCCAATCAGGTCCACTTGCATGTAAGCAATAACAGTTATCTCGCTTGCAGCAATAGCTTGGGTTAACCCAAACTGGATCGATCAACTCAATATCAGTTATATAGGTTCAATAGGACTTGCGTATAATTTGGCGGCTCTGTTTCGAGAAAGCTTTTTCAACATGGGATGCGTTAAGACTCTGTGTGGCGCCGTCTAAAAATAGCACCTGTTCTTATGGGAAGAGTTGACTGCAGCCTTTTGGGGAGCCAGTGGGAGCAACAGGGTCCAAAAATAAGCCGAATTTGTCGACCTATTCTACGACCGGAATGCTTGACTCAGGAAATACAGGTTTCATTGTAAAGTTACGATTTTGGTTTTTTCGACCTCGATCCCGCTTTACCTTAGTAACATGAGCATGTAACAGCACATCAAGGTTTTCTCGATGAAGGTTCGGTTCGAGGAAAGCATTAAACGAAGATACTCTTCGACCGTGTTTCGTTGAGGACTGTGGACAAGAAAAACGATTAGTTAAAGACTCTCCAGAATCTTAGCTTATTCTTTTGTGTTATGATTTACATATACTTTATCAGATGGACGATTTCAAAATTTGATGGACCATCATATCGAAATAGCCCCAGTGATTTCCATCATTTTGATCGCTATATTGAAGTCCAAACTCTTCCTCGCACGCTTTGAAGATAGCTTCCTTAATGGGATGTGATTCCCTATGGGTTGTCACTCCGAGAGGACCCAATCGTCCATGGAAGTCATCTGCAATATATTCAAATGAGCGTCCAGACAACGCAGCAACGTTCATACATAATAACTGCACATACAGTTCAGCTATCAACTATGTATATAGCTATGTATATATGCGTATACAGATGTATCAGAAGACTGAAAAAATAGGTTGGCTAAAAAACTCCGTTCATTCGAACGGTTTCAGTTAAAAACAAAAACTGTTTTAGTAAGTTCCTGTGACAATCCGACAATCTAACTGTGACCGCGACGCAGAAAATCCTTAAACAGAAAGGAACTTACCACTTAGAAAAGGATCGTCAGAATTTTCTGCTTCTTTAAATAACTTTGAAACCTCATCAAAGTTCCAGCCTTTGGCGCCATATACGCTCTCCCAGGTATTGTAATCATCCCTGTCGCCCCGTTGGTACGCCATTAGGTTTATAGACGATCCGCCACCCAATACGCGACCAGACGCTATCGTACGCACCTAAAACTCAGAACAGACTCTGAGTATTATCCCAGGTTCAATTTAACCCAATTTAGTTAAACACTTTTCACATCGATCTTAAGAGGAGGACGGTAAATTATGTTGCTTGCTGTAAAACTTGACTGTTAAAGGACTCACCCTGTCAACTGCAGAGAGCATTGAAGTCTTCTGGGGTACAGTTTTATACTGCCAATCAAACTTTGGATTATCGAGTGCCAATGCAGTAAGTAGGGGAATCTTACTGAACTCTGGAGGAACGCCGCCCGCTTCGATCAACAAAATCTTGAAAGACTCCTTCGAACTAAGATGTTCTGCTACGCGACATCCCGCCGAACCTCCTCCAACTGGGGTATATCAACAGACCCGTTATTAAAACTGCCTTATGGGCGTTCACTCATAATTTCTTATTCAAATTATTATTGAACAGGTCAGGCGTCTGCTAGAGTAAATACGGCTATATTTTATGACTATTTTTAAAACCACGAGCATTATATCATAATCAAGCAGTTAGATACCCCAAATAGAATTCGGCGTACTTGTTTAGGGTAAACCGTAATATTTTAAAGCCAAAACTTATTGCCCTATGTTTTACTATCGATACGGATTTTTTTTTTGAACTTGCATTATCGCTACGCTTACCAATTTATGGTTTTGCCATACAAAAGTTCTTGGACTGTGCTATAGTGTACCAGCTGAAAACTTAGTGATATTGAGTTAGGATATTTTATGTACCTGTAACTAGCAGGTGCGCTAGTGTTTCAACTATTGCTAGCTTGAATTATTTCTGTTTAAAAGCCCCGTTTATCAAATAAGCGTGCAACCTCTCGTGCACATAGTTTGTATGGTACCGTATGGCTCATAAATGGTACGTGGGTCAATTGAATGCGGACCAGTTGATACGCTCCATTAGTAAAAATATGATAATAAACGTATCCCAAAGAGACGTTTATGTGCTGTCGTAATGGTTTGTTCTCTTAGCTCTTAGGTTCTCGACCGGGCGTAGAAATACGTTGTGCCGGAAGCCCACGATCTTAAACCATGCCCAACAGCAGTACTAGATGTAAATGTAACGGACCTAATAAGGGCATTTAATTGTAGAGTTAATCTGCTAATTGAAATTCATACGAAACGAATTCCTATTAATTCATACGATAGGAACACATGTTGCAATATGTGTGTAGCAATAAGTAATTCAGAGAAACGTATTTATTGATTGATTTGCTCCCATTCGGGAAGTACCTTTATTCTAGCTCGACGCAAACGACATTCAGTGCAATAGGAGAATTTACGCTTTTCTAATAGTGTACCCAAGTAGGACATGACTTACCGATAATAAAGTCGTATTCTACTCGAAGATCCCCGAGACAGGTTCCATTATAGTTGACGTCGAGCGCGTCAGACGTGCTCACCAATATCATAATGCAGAGCGATACCAACATTTTGGTATCAGCACAGAAACAATTGGATGCGTGTTCTAATGATCGGAACAATTAAGCCAATTACAGAAAAGTATCCAGCTAAATCAGGACACACGGGTTTTTTGCTATCGTTGCGCGGTAGAAGATATTCTACATCCGAAAGTCTATAACGGGATGACGTCTGAACTAATGTTTATTGTGCTATCGTAAAGTTTCACTCTTCTAGTCTCGTCCTGGCTGCCATCGACGCTCAAAAAGAATTCTCGTTCGTGTAGAATCTCTGCGTAGTACATACAGTAGATGTCGTAATTGGAGCTACCTGCCTGTGTTAATAATAGTTGTTTCTATTCTCGTAACCAAATTTTATTTGATTCGAATCTGGGAAGTGCCAAATAGCATTTAGTTCGATCAATGTGACAGGAGAAGATTTACTGAAAAAATTGAAAAAACAAGTTACAATGACTTTTCATCGGAACACTGAATACAAGTAGTTACAGCATTCGCCTTTGTATACTGAAAACACTTCGCACTCACCGAATAGTTATACCACCGCTTTCGTTCGTTTGCAGCCAAGAACTGATCAAGATTTAAACAAGTGTCTGGGATGAAGTTAGAAGAGCTGCACAAAAACGAGCGTTCTGAACGATACAGAAAACAAGTGGGCCTTCGTCTGGGTGTTCTGGCAAAACGTCCTAACACGTCCACCACATATAGGTAACTATAAGGCGTCTATTGGCGTTTCACATTATGGCTTATCGTCTGCATATCTTTTATGCCACATTGGTCAAGTGGCCAGGAAACTTGTGTGTGTAGACTGCTGACTATAGTTCGTGGGAAGGCCCTGCTAGTAGAGTAACGACACAGACGAAACACATATCGCCATTCAACGCTTCTTTGGCAAACACCTCGATGGCATCGTCATTTGCTCTCGTCTCCTTCGGAAACGAGAACCGGTCGTGTTACAAGGGAAAGAGGATGTGCGGGGATCCGTTTCCTTAGCGAACTTTGTCTCACATTCTATTCTGGCCACGCAACGGAGCAAAAGTAACACTTGTTTCTATCGATAATACGTCCTGTGGCTGCAAATTTGGTACTCGTAAGCGGTTAGAACAAGTTCTCTAGACCAATGCAAAAAGTACACTATCGAATTGTAAACAGGTCCGGAGTTCCTATGTCTAGATATCCGACAATACCAGATTTGATCATTAATGCGAAATTTAATTCAAGGCGTTGGACAAACTGAAAAAGAATCAGACAGACGTGAAGGCTGCAGCCAACTTCTTCATGAACTATATTTGTAAGTAATTTGTGTTTAAATGCTACTGTTTTAAATTCCCGACGACAATAAAATAACACCGATGTCTGAACGATATCCGCCTCACTTTTCCTTTCATATACTTAAAATTACACTTTAATTTGCCTAAAGCTCGAACGTACACATTAAAGATACTACTATCTATAGAAAAAAAAACTTCAGTGTCGATATCGACGTGAAATGGTATTTTCTGTGAATAACAAATGAGTCAAAATTTTTATAACTTTCTTTACCGATTCCAAATCGGGCGTTGTCTCCGGATGCCAATATATTGGATGATTGTACATTAAGATTATTAGGCAATTGATTCGGCTCAAATTGAAGTTAGGAACAGGTATAAGGCCCTGCATGATTCAGTAAAATAGACCCGTGTCAACGACTAGTGCGAGACATACGATAATAACACACGAGACCTCCAGCTCATCCAAACCACACCATTTCCGAATAGATCTATTGTAAATAGTGCTAGACTAAGCTCCGAAGGTGAGAAAAAATTAATCCTATCTGACAATACTGATTAACGAGGTCTCTGGCAAAAGTAAGGGCTATACTAGCAAGTACCCAAACAGTTATCGGAAATGGAACGAGCTACCTTCACTGTATCGCAATTCAGCTGCTTATGATTTCAGAAATCAGACTGTACAAACGTTCTTAGTGGTTACCTTGTAGGCATGTCGTGTGTATTTATAAGTAAATGAATTTGCCATTGCTTTAATGAGCGAGCACGGTTTCACAGGTTGATTGTTTGGATGGAAAGGCGCACCATGAGCACTAGAAGCCACTATAGACATGGGTCATATCCTCTTCTATTGTCAAAGAAGGACATCTTTACACATTGGCACGTGTACGTGAGTGCCACTCAGACCAATGAGCGCGATAAGCAGCGACAATAGCTGATCGCGCAGAGACAAGACCGCAAGCAAACAGCCCCGTCGCTGCTTTTCGTATACACGAACCCCTAATTCAGTAATAATCTATAAACGTTCACGGGTAGGGCGGTATTTTCTGGGCAGAAAACCTATGCATATTCTCCGAACCATCGCTGCCGCAGCAAGTTCCTGGAGGATCGACTTGTAAAAAATAACTACTGTCACCAGAGTCGTTCGAGAACAGCCCGTAAATACGTTTGCTAGGAGATAGCTATCACTGCAGAAATGTATGCAGCAGTGTTATATTTAAGCTAACGTTTCACACAAATTCACTTGTTTAGAATGTCTCACAGTGTTGATGGCTTCATAAAGATTCCATTTGTTGTTGTATATACTCTACTAAGTATTGTATATTATTATGTCAATCGTCTGCTAACGACGTATTAGGCGTATGCACCGCTCGTACATTTGTCGCAATAGGCCTTGTATAAATGTCATTAACACGCTGCCAGGCACACAATTCGATGCTCTTTTATTTGTACGAGGGCTCCAGGACTACACATTTGTTTACGAGGACTTTTGAGTTCAAAGGAGAACTCCAGCGGATTAATAAATAAATGACGCTATATGAAGGTTTTCCGAATAATGTAATCATCGAATGCTACCTCTCAATAAACTAGAAAATGCAAAAATTGTTATATATTACACAGGTTATTAAGACATAAAACAGGACTATTAACAGTCACATATACTACCCCTTCTATATACTAAGGTTGTGATATTATATGATTTTAGTAGAAGAGTTCCCTTATGCTACTAAAACTAGCTACGAGAGATGACATCAACGGAAGTTACCTTGAAAATGACAAAGTATCGAAAAGCCAATCAATACATGGTTCGTAATCCTTCGCTGCGGGTTGTTTCCTGACTTCAGGCTTATTTATCAAAGACTTTATCAACAATTCGGGCCCAGCTATGATTATCCTGTAGCACTTCATGCATCCGGAAGAGATGATACGTGTAGGAACATATCGAATTGAAAAAAATTGGAAAAAAAAGCTATTTATTAGACCTTGGTAGGGTTGCTGCTTAGATGGCCGTTTTTTCGATAGCTGGTGCATTGTCCTTTTCATTTGTTACAAGCAGGAAAACGTATTCAGCTTTGGTTTTATTCTGTTCATGAGCATTTTCATATTTGTTCCGGACCTGGACGGAAGGCTATGGCTTACAGATTAACACCGGCTTACAGGTATATGTAAAAAAGATAGCTCAGCCGTAATCATTTCGAAGCCACCACAAGAAAAATAGGATCATTAGGTCTGCCAAGGTCTGTCCTTTAAGTGCTTGTCAGAGGGTAACATCTTCTAATTTCTGAATTTTCAAGCCAGTAAGGTACGGTTGACGGTTTTCTTATCTTAACCCATTTCCTCATTGGAGAGTTATTCTTGTCTACTAATTAGTCTTTTGCTCAGAGCTATTTTTATCTGCGATAACCTTTCTGGGGAAAATATGCACTGACTTATGTGAGATAAATTGTTGACGTGGTCCAAAGTGGAAATTCGTAATGAAACATAGTCCGAAAGTTAGTATCGGTCTGCTATTAAATAATGAATTTTTTTCTTTTGTTACTGAATTAGGGTTGGAGAAATACAATATTATCGCAAATCTGAAATCAACATAACAAAATAATGTATAAATAATAAAATACTGGTTGTCTTAACCGTAACAATTCCCTGAAAGCAAATCTGTTGATCAGCAGTGAATATCGATACTTTAAAAATTAACGCTGAAAGGGGTAATTCGCCCATAAAACTGAGAAAATTTTTTGACGAAACAGCGATACCAAAGCTTTGAACGACACCTTCAATAAAAAGCACCCTTTTCAACGTTTCTTCATACAGGCCAACTGCTGAAAATTTTGTCATTTTTAGATAGGCTAGGCTTTAGTATAATGGCTTTTAATATATTTCAAAATAGATACTTAATCCAAAAATATAAAAAACGATGTGTCTGTGGCTACTGCGGTAGCCATTTATTTCGATAATATGAAGCAGACACCTAAGAGATAATTAAGTAATGAAGTTCAAGCTGCCCATATTATCAATATAAGAACAATGTTTTCATGTTAATTTATTATCATAGCCGTAATGATACATTTTATTGATATTTTTTTTCTATTAATTACTGTATCGGATCGTTAGCTGCCATTCATGTGTTAATTCGGCTTACTCAGAGATTGAATACGACCAAAAAATATCCAAGAGGACCGTTACAATCGTCACCATCATCACTGCTTGCTTACGAGAGCGCTTAGACTGATTAACAAAAGACGTTGGCTTTTGCTAAATAAATAAATATATTTGTTCTAAATCTTATCTAACTTGAATTCCACTCAGAACAGTGCCTCGTGTCGCGTACCCGTAAGGTATATGCCCCGTTTTTAACAGAACTTTTATAGTTTTCCGTTCATTTTGTACAATTACTATAAAAGCGTTAATTAAATCGCATAATGATTTGAATAGTAAGTGAGCTTTCACCTAAACGTTTTTCGCCTGCAATAGCTACTCCAGTTCGCTGTCATTGACATCAGTTGGCGTTGTTACGTTTTTGATTACTTCAAATAATCATAGTGCTATCTAATAGGATCGCAGTCTACTCGAGTTGTTTAGCTCATTCTGATCGAACCTGTGGTCGTGCCAGAAAATCTCAAATCTGGCTGGTTCGGATTTCTGTCGGGGGAATTGGGGTCCAGTGTGCTTTAGGCGCTCGCCGAGAACGGCTGAAGCGCCGGCGTAGATAGACGAACACAGTCGTAAGTGCCAGCGTAACCCCAAGGACGGCCGCCCCTGGCACAGCCAATTGTCATAACTCGGGGGGTAGGAGATTCCTGTTGGGCAAAACAAACATCGTACATACTGCCAGAAATCATTGCCTCATAGAAAAAAGCTCAGCGGATATGTTAGTTGCTAGTTCTGAACATACGATGGGTAGGGAAAATCTATAAACGTTGTTAAATCAACAAGTGTTGTCTAGTTCAAACAAAATAATAAGGACCTAATTTTATTTAGGAATCATATTTTTGTTATTGAGCAAGTCAGTGCCAGCAATTCGATAGTCTATTAGAATCCCAAGCGCAGATTAAGGTTGCTTAAGTCATAAGGAGTAGGATTCCCTGAGCCTATACGCACTTCCAGAAATGTGATGCATTTAACAGCGGGACTAACTTATGGGTTCCTTTTGAAAGTCGCGTATTAATACGGGACTTGAAAACTTAAAACGGTTTTCGTAAATGAGTACGATTGTTCAGGAAACTATGTAGTTTGTAGGCAGCCATATTCGTTCGATTCATGTCTGAATAAAATTAGTGTTGTCCGAGCTACGAATGAAGATGAAGTGTTTACGAAGAGCAGTACGGGACGTAAAGCTCATTGTTATGATTCTCTGTTTTAATCAAAAGTAAAAAGAGATATAATGCGCTTGCCTTTGTTTAATGAGACAGCCCCTGTCTAAATTCGAATGCCGTAACCCTTCATTGATATTCACGGCGACCAGTGGGGTGTTACAGAAATACATCTGTTTACCCAGATAAATATTGACGGCAAAGCACAACGTTGATCTTTTATTTTGCAATATACATCGCTTAATTAATGTCCGGGTTGTGGCAAGTGTACACTGAGAGGCAAGAACAGTCAAATTCGATGTGAGTTTTAATAGTATATCTACTTTTACTGAAAAACACATTATACCGTTGTCCTAACGAGTTCATTTGTCTGGAACTGTAGTTATTATGATTACGTTTACTATCAAGCAACTATAAACAAAATAGGAACTTTTTTCTCTCTCTCTCTCTCTCTCTCTAGAGAAAAACGTTCTATTTGATTTATAGTTATAGAGAAAAACGAGGGCTCAAACTACCTAACCAACGTACTCGATGTAGTTCCTAAAGCTTTCGAAGTCCTTATGAAACATCGTAATGAGCTTGCTGCTACTTGAATCATCATGAAGTGACGGAGATCTCGATCTCCATGCGTTATTAGGCTTCGTCGTTGTAGAAGTAGACGTAGTTTGCGCAATCGGATATTTCGCATCCATAAAGTCGGCAAGGATGCTGACGTCCGCACAAGCTTTCAACTGTCCTTGTGGAGGGTCACAGTCTTGGTCAAAGCCACACGGCGATGCTGAAATAACAGATGCAGGAACCAGAACGTCACTACTCACACAAGTAAGAAGAATGATCCGAATGCATTTCTTCCACAGCACTTCCCAAATAACTAACGTGATACTCTCTATAATAGTGTAGGTTAGCTCAGTTGTCTAAGCAACCCGAAGATAGGGTCTTCTGGTAAATCTGCGCAGGATATAAAAAGTAAACTCTTGTTTATATTTAAATTAGATAATATACCTGTCCAATACTCCCAAATCAGTATACACCATTGGCACTGGTATTTTTTCGGCAACTTGACACGAAGATAAAAATGACTTTGTGAAGAGTCAATAGTAAATAGGGGCTCGTCTGTTTCCTGAATATCCAGGGCGCGTCTGTAAGCAAAATCGTTAAACTTAATCCCAGCATCATCGCAGATTTCGCTCGCAAAAGCTCCAGCGCATATTGCGTCATCTTCCTATTGGACCATTCATCAAATGAAGATATTTCTCCAAGAAAGTACTGTAGCATAAAGCATACGTGTGTGCATGTCATTAATAAACCACCATAAAATTAAGTTTTTCATGATAATAATAACCCCGCTTTATATACAGATATGGCCTAACGTCGAATCAATTTCCAATCTGCATCGTTTATGTTGCATAGTTTAATAAGAACACGATATAACAGGTTAAAATCAGTCAGTAAAACCTGGCCTGTGATGTAAGCGAGCACATCAAACCGGGTTGTTGCGCACGACTTGTACTTTCTATAATTGTAGAAACAGCTAAGCTTCGATAGGGGAAAATTTCGTATTCTGTTAAGTTCAATTATTATTGATTTCATAGAAGGTACGTTTGGAATTCTTAATTGGCCTAGTAGACTTTACCGGTTGTTTTAAAATGTTTCATCGAAATAAGTTTAAATACCTGTTTTTACATTTAATCGGTTTGTTGCCCCGGCGTCTTCTCACCGCAGTCCCATTGCTCGTCACTGTTGCTGCTGTGCCGCTAGCGAAATCTTCAACTTTGCATATTGAGAATTGAAAATATCCACCCATATTCCGTGTGAAGTTCACTTCGACGTCTATATATTCACCAGGCAAATATCTACGCGTTATTAAGCCTGCACGGAAAAAAGATGGCGCACGATAGTGTTGATTAATCAGTTACGTAACTAGACTAAAAAGTAGAGTGCGAGATATGGGCTATAGTAATGCTCAGACCATATAGTGGGGCCAGCGCTAAAAGTTGGGGTATAACAGTTCGTCAAAATGGCAATCACAATACTTAGCGTACAATCGTATCGAGTGGACAATTTTCCACCGAGGCTTACCACTGGTTAGTTATAATAAGTTATTTACTGCATTTTTGGCTTTTGCAGTTCTTCGTACACTTACCTTGTCCGTAGAGTCCCCCAACTTCATGAGGTCGTGGAACCGGCAAATCGTAGGCATCCCCGCACATACCGCAGTTCCCACTGTTGACGTGCCAAAGACGCTGAAATACATAACAGGAACGTTTTACACGTTTAGAAACCACTCACACCGTTTCTAATACAAAATTATGGACAACAATGGTCTTTTTCCTATTCCATAGGAATATTTTTAAATAGATCTAATAATAAATCTATATGGAAAGTTCCAAACTGTCTATCTATAGCCTATGAAAATTACTAAGGTAATAATTTTCATTTTTCCTATTTAACGAACATAGTTACATCTGTGTGTATATAAGTCTTACGTTTATTTTTTGAATGCGTTTTAAATAATGCTTTATTTAGTTCTCAGTTTAGGACTTCTACGTAGACCGCGATTGTGGTGTGACGTTACCATTATGAACAGTATATGCTTTGCACAATAAAATTGCACTCGAGCTGAGACATCGTTAACCATCATTTTGTTAAGAAAAGCTCAAAAAAATTATAGGGCTATTTTGTTGTTTTTTCGATATCAACCTTATGGAATGTATGAAAAAGTCCGCTTCATTTAATGGCTTTATATTAAAGTGAGTTTTCCTACATTTTTTTTCTGTACTTTGCAGCTAATAGGCTTAAAAATAAAAGAGAAAAGGAACCAATATTGGAAAATATAACATAGAGTATTTCGGAATTCGGTTCAGATCCTGCCGGCCATAAAAGTGGTCAGAACAAAGAAAATTATTTTCCATAAGGTTGCGTAGTTTCATCCAGATCTCGACGCACTTAATGGACGCGTCAAAAGCAAGTATCGGAATACGCGCCTCTTACTATTTTAATTGGGTAATAGAAATCGGTAACTGCGTATGCCCGTCTTACTATATATGTCCTCTGTTTTCAACCAGATGCCTACTAATGTTAGTTATTTAGGACATAAACTCATCTCAATTTACATCAGCTAGAAGCCCCAATGCAGTTTTGTATACCCCTTGTATATAATTAGATTTTTATTGTTTGCCTATATTAACAATAGACATTTCGAATTGAACTTGTGGTGCTATTCTCAAGCATTGCGCCGAAGCTACGTTTGCCTGTAGTGGACAAAATCAGTGAGCTGGTCAAAGATAGACTATGAAACAAGTCAAGCTTTATATCAACTGCAGAAATGAAGATTTGCAGATTATAATATGATATTAGGCAAGTGTGACATTTATTTGAGGAGCCAGCCAATCGGCCGTTTTATGGAATTATGACTAACGGCGATACCGGACATAAAACTCGAAACATAGAGGCAAGCTTGACGTAATACCAGAATAGACAATGGAGTGCAGTGTCCTGCTGTAATAAAAAAAAAAAGGTCACTTTTATCCGATGTATTTCACTGAAGTACAAACAACATTTCGAAGTTGCGCTTATCCAAATCCAAGCTCTGCTCCGCGTATCGATGTCAACGAAGTATAGCCGACTCAGTCTTCACTTGATTGTCGTTGAATTGATGCATATTGAATCTAAATGGTCCAAATAAAGATGTATTCGCAAAAACACAGGCTTACATCGGTTCCTCCGCAGTCGTTACGATCATCTTCCACGTTGACGGGGGCGTCATAACCGAATCGCCATAGCGATCCACGCGCCGGGGGTTCCTTAAGTATTCCATAGGTCTTTACGTGAATAACACATAGGCACAGTATGGTTAGCCAGATGATTGCGGTATTCATTGTAGTACACCACACGGACAGTTATACGGATGGGCGATATTACGTTCACAGTGTTACGCAAACTCTAAAACGTTACAATAATTGGAGGAAACAGTCTTAATCTACGTACAGGCCATGCAGCCTGGACGTTACCGACTGTCAATCTGAAATATGTAGTTACTACTAGTCTGTGTCACATTTGTACAGCGATACATGGAAAAGAACGGCTGAAGTTTCTATACGGCGCATGGGTCTGTGGACATGGATCTTGTCGAACACCGCTAAGGGCGAGAGTGCTTGAGCTGTTGAGAGGATGTAACAGTCCGTAAATTCAAATGAGCTTTAACATCGGTACACGGTGACGCCCTTCAGACAAGCGAACCTGTAGCGCCTCAGTATGAGCTCTTACTTCAACAGCGAAAAACGAGGAAAACCAGTTACATCAACGTCCATGAGAACAAATCCGTTGGGGTGAATGCAGTAACATTATGGCAAACGGAACTATTTCGACCACCACCTAGTGATCTATGCTAGATCATACTTCACACCCAGTATGGGCGTGACATCAGCCTCGCGCTGGGTGTCAAAATGTACGCTTAGTAAAATATAAAAAAATATCTAAACCATGGCTAATCTGTATTCGAGGGTGTGTCGCTAGATGGCGTTGAAAACAAGGACGGCGCGGAACTTGGAATGACGGGTACGTGCTCAACATCGCTTAGCCAAGCGTTTGCGGTAGTTGTGCTCACAAAGAAGAACTAATTTATACAGAGAGGCCGGGCGAGAGCGAGATTTACAAAAGAAAAGAGAACAACAAAGCAATGGCTGTTGTGAAGCCTTATCATGTCCATGCGGCATTTTGTGGAGTTTGGACCGTTTTTATAGTAGGTGTTGCTTCACCTCAGGGGTAATATTAGCTCGAAGTGGTAATCTCTAAGTAAATGCAGGGCGCCTTTGGTATATAACCTCGCGAATTCGGATCACGGAAGACATGATCAGAAATTCCTGTTTAAGGTTTTCAGCTTCATGCGTTTCTCAGATGTGTACTAGGGAAATAATAACTAGACAGATGACTGTATTTGAAGGATAAGATGGCTGTATTGTGGAAGCAGCAAGAAGCAAACGCCTATTAGATTCCAAATATTATCATTACTCAGTAGAAAGTTCAAGCACCGACTAGTTTTCAACGCAGTAATTTTTGGCAATTTTTTTGTACGCCATGAAGCGTACTTCAAAAAAATACACATGCTCACTAAAGTAGATAGTGATAGATCTAACAGCTGATTGTAAATCAACTCAATGACTAGTTATTTTCGTACATGCCTTAAGCAGCCGTGGATACAACATTTCTAACCATCATCTACATATATTAATAGCGACTCGTGCGCTAGTTAATATATGATTTGAAAAAGCTACACTTACTGGCTTATTTTCCCTCCGATTGTATTCTTACAGCTCTCGTATGTTAATTGATTCGTGTTAAATACGACGACTCTTGTTCGTATGTTCGTCGTTATGGAACTCCTTAAGGCGTACGACACAGGCATCCTCATCTAGCTTTACAATCAACAAACGACTTCATCAGAACGAATTGATCATCTGCTGAAAACGAGCTTTTTCTTAGTATGAGACTTCTTCCCAGTCTGGCACTCGATTTGCATGCCGCGACGAAGAGCAAGCCAAGAAGAACGCGTCGCCTTTTACAATCAACCTCTAGCGTTTCCGTCGTCTGTTTCATTCGATGCTGCCAATAGCAACCCTTTGAACTATCAAGGAAAAAACACAAACACTTCAACGGTAGCTGCTACCTTTCTGGGTAAATGTGAAATCTCGATACAGGCAGAAATAAAAGAACAGACAAACCCTGAAAACTGCCTATGACCATGATATGATTTCTTAGTTAGTCCCCAAATAGGTGTTCACTGTAATGTTTAAATTGCTCTATAGAGCTTTCGTGTGGATCATTGTCTTGCATTGGAACTTTCCATTATGTAAACAATTTATCAGACGCTACACGATTATGCATTTTGATGCGATTCAAATGTGCGTCCGTTACCCCAAGCTGTTACCAATATGCAGAATAAGTATACCTACAATATGGCTGCATAGACAGATGATGCCATTACGTTAACGGTGGCTACATTTTGAAAGAAAAAAACAACTGTGCTTTTTCGACTATGTAAACATCTATTTGGTCAGTTACATATCACATAAATATCCGTCTACTAATCATGATTCTAATGGTAGTCAGTCATCATAATAAAATTAGTGGCCTTTTGGTAAAATGTCTAGTGATCTATCGGTTGGCTCTGATTTTTGCTTTCAACGAGTACTCCTTGTATCGTCTTCATCTGGAAACCATTCGGAGCCACTGAACGAAGGCCTCTTCTCGTAGAGGAATTCTTGCCAAAGAGCTGTTTTACCTCTATCTCGACCTTTACATTGATACTAGCGCCTACAGTTTTTCTCTATATAACTAGACTTGTGCATTGTAATCATAGATAATATTTATAGATAAACGAAAAAATTGACATTGTTAAAAATAGTGGTGCCAGATAACTTTTCAGGTCATCTAGCAACGTTTTGTGAAGCCATATGCTGAACGCGAAACGTAAATTATGGATATCTAGAATATATGGACCTTTATTAAGTGATCGCTTGAATTCGCTTGTCAATTGCTGATTTGTAAAGGTTTAATTAATGTCATTATAAATAAAATCGTAATGTAGATAGTACCCCGCCAGACAAAACGGTAGCTAGAAAAGGTACAGTCCTACAATCCTTAAGCTAGACGGATGAACAGTTAATCAAGGACGTGGATATAATTACAAATAAATATAGATGAAGAAGACCTTTGCCATTTTTTCAAATATCTGTAAACACTACACGCTTTTTAAGCAAGTGCATTGTAGCGTTAGTATCCGTTGGTGTGTTCGGCGTCCAAAGGGCAAGCGATGGGGGTTTTTTCCCCTTTGACAGTTTGCCCTTTCCGTTCGGCGGTGACTTCTTTTTCCAACGGTGGGTACTGACAGCCACGACCAGCTCACCGCGGACTGGCGCGGACACGATCCAAATGTTAGCTGAGGCCACCTAACGGTGTAGGTGTCGATCGCTCAGTGGTGGCATGACAGACCAATATCTGGTTCATGGTCTTGACTTTTCTCAGCTGCTCACGAAAGAGCATCACCTAATGGCTGCGGTATAATGAGTGGGCAAGCACTTCAATTGGCGCTTGACAATGGCAAGAATAAAGCGCGGATTCTCTTTGGCAGCTCTATTTTGTTTAGCGTTCTTTATACTTGTTTATAATTCTGTTCGCCTCGGTACCTCGTCGAACGCATCGAAGAGACTCCTCAGAGAGGGAAGTCCCTCACGAACAATACGAGAGAAAGTATTAAGAACGAAAGGTTCAGGTTTGAGGGCGTTCTATGATGAATTGTCGATGCTTGGTTACCGTAAAGGTGATGGAGGCGCTGTCTTGTTTCGACAGATCGTACGTAAGCCAAGCATTAGTCAACCAGTGTTTCTTCACGTCTATGTCGCTTCATCACCGTCGCACGACGTCAGAAGGAACGCCATTCGCGAAACTTGGGGTGCTCAAGGGAAAAAGAACAATGTGTCACTTGTGTTTATGATTGGAAAAAGTGAATTGGACAACAAGATTCGCCGTGAAGGAGACACATATGGTAAGCTTTCATTGAACAATTCAAGTAAGTAAGTAAGCAAGCATCTGATTACCTAATATCTTGGCAAACAATATTTACTCTTCTTCGCTCCCCTTAGTGGCTACTCTAGGCAACACAAAATCTAGGTAAAAGAAACGGTGCTCCAACAATTGGAACAGCCACATCTGTTACACTATCACAAGTGACGGTGTAAATTTCTCCAATTTATTAGACACAAAAAGGGCAACGAGATTAAAGCAGGCCGAATATAAATTGTGTAACGCGTAGTTCGCGGTAATTGTTGGCTAATGTTTGGATTAGAGTAAATCACTCTAGAATAACGCAATGAATTGGCTAGCGACTGCAATCGAGCAGAAGAATGCCTATATAATAAAAAATGGGCATCTTTTCAATATACGAATAATAGTCGACTAGTATTCATTCAGTCTAAAGTACTGCACATCGCGACCTCCATTGTTAGAAATGACAGAAAGCCTACAAAGTGAAGTAGACGGCAGCACTGTATGGCAACAAGGCGAGCAGTATGAAAATTGGGTCGACGGCGAGACAAAAATGTTACTGAATAATTGACCTCACCGTATGCGAGCCGCTGCTTGGCCTGATTGATGGGCATACAGATCCCAACGCACCACAAAGGTGATGTCACCCAGTGTGTTACTGCTAACTAACTGAATCCCGTCATGGAGACACTTGAACTAGATCAACATTCGTGTTCGAATGAGCTAGTTCTTATAAGGAATCAGCTTGCGGCCTGCGACTTAGGGTGTATGAATGAAGCATTCGACAAATGTATGAAGCTCCGCTGTTCCCAAAACTGTCAACCCTGAACCGGGACTGAACCTAGTTTTGTTGCTAATAGGGGTAAGGTAGATTTCTAGAGAGTGGCAAAATGAAAACTCCAAAAGTTTAGGCTAAAAAACTAAGTTGGCAAATTTAAGTTTATCTGCAGCGCCACACAGTGAAGCTCTGCTATGTTAGGCAACTAGAATTATTTTGTCAAGCAGTAAGATATTTTAGGCTGCCGCCGGCTCGTTTTCAGATGACCAAAATGATGCGTTGATGTATAAATGGAATACTTTAAAGAAGACAATGCGATCCGTATGAATAAAGAAAGGTATTTCACTGGGCAAACGCAAATCGATGCAATCTTGTATTTGTAAACTGTTTGTTGAAACATATGATTATTTATTAATACAAGGATGTTTGCCCGAATTGCAGCCTAAGTTATCAACTACTGATTGTCAACCAGCTCACATAGTGGGTCAGTTGATAAATTGGAAAGGTATCATCCAATGCTTGGGGACAGCTTTTACAATCGTCACATCTGACGCCGATTAGTTAACCGGAAAAAAAAAAAGGATATGATAGACTTAATAGTATGATGGATAATAGGTATTTGCCGGGGTGAAATATATAGAAGACAAAAAGTGACCCGAAAATTATGTTAGTGACATGATACGTGTAATCAAACTGCTGGGTGGTGCATCGTGTGTATCCACCTAAGTACTTTTATCAATCAATAGATGTGTAGTTTTCAACTAATTGGGATACATTAGTTACAGGTCTGTATTTCGTTTTCCGTCTCCGGAATTGTTAAAATTCTCACGTGAACCTTTTGTTTTGGCCTAGACACCCTACAGAGACTCACTCAGAACGCTACGCTACGTATATAACGTGAAGATGTCACTTCACCTAAACAGTATAATAATAGCCATTTGTGTAAGGCGGATTGTAATGATATACCGTTTGTAATTCAATGTTGACTCGAACGCAGTTAGTAGGACTAGGATACTATCCGGTTTCCCCAGATCAGCTTTCGGAATATACTAAAGGAACTCTTCTTCGTTTACGAAACCTAGTTTCCTTTAAGGATTCCTTAAATTGCATGGTAGGAGCGTTTCTTCTCGAAACTTGGGATCGCCTGATTTTTGACAAACTATGCAGTAGTACGGATTGATAACGATGGTCACTGTTATAAAATGAAGTTGGGCCCTTTTCAGTCCCAACACAATGGTGATGGGAACAACGGACCAGTCAGTAAATCGCACGCCATCGTATAACCTACACACTGGGTGTTACTTCGTCTGTTTTTCAGGACAAAGCCATTTGACCTCCCCTCAGTCCTTCGTAGCGTCTGCGGGTGCCATTTCAAGTGTTTGTTAACATGCCCAGCAGCAGTGGAGGTATCGCCTGTTGCTGCTAATATTCACTGACAAACACCTATGCCATTGGTCTTATTAATTACGATTAGCAGCTTCACGATGCCCCTACGCACGGTCGGGTAATGGTTGTAACATCAGCTTCGTTTCACGTACGGATTAGTTATCGCTTCGATCGCTCGTTTCGAGATAAGCGAACATATAGCTTCTTATATTCAATGGCTTCAACAAGTTTTGCGGCTATGAAACTTCCCGATGGCAATCGTTCGCTTGTACCAAAAACACAGATGTGCATATTGTATATACACTGTATACGAGTACAGTTATAATATTTCGTTGTTATAAATATCGGCCAGTCGTACGATTGATGAATGTGCGCCTTAAGAAGGGATCCACTATGCAAGACAAAAGGCTAACAATTAGATTTCCGTTGATTTTGTCTGTAATTAGGACCCTGAACTGAATACTCCAAAGGAGGAAATTTACGTAACATACCATAACAATACCATGCAAAATAAGAAATCAGATGGGCCAATCGTAAACTGCACATATCTCTGTATATAAATGTCAAGACGCTCACTGCTGAAAGTTGCATATGAAAAGTAGCCATTGAGATTTGACCTACATAAGTTAAATAGAAGTTACAGAATAGGTGACTGTCCATTGTTTAGTACAAAGAAAGAGGGCAACACCATGGGCTAGATGCGAAAAAAACACAACACGTGTATTGTTGGAAAACATAAACGTGTTGCGCTTTTATTTAATGACGACAAATATTGTAACAAAAGTAATAGTTGTTGGCAGGTCTGCATTCGGCCTTACTTTTCTAAATCATCTATATTAAACTACGATATCCGTGTATTGAATTCATTTGACTGCGGTGCGCCAAGAATGGCTCAATGAGAATGAATATATCTTATCTAAATACAGAAGTCACTTTCTGCTACTGCGGGTTTTTCGCCTAAACTACATTTGTGAATGCGATACCAACGAACTTCGCTGAAAATCTGTTGATTTCCCAAAAACACAGTACTTTTGTTTACTGCCCCTTTGGTCGTGTATGTTCAATAAGCCGATTCGAATATATACGTAACAACATAGTAAGTATAAGATGATAAAACATACCAGAGAATTGTTGGTAATCCATTACTATGCCGTATGAGATTTTATAATCCTTAAGTCTACGCATGGCATAATCTCAAGTGCTAGATCTTTGATCTAGAAGTAACGAGTGAGCCAGACTTTCTAGCAATGCCACTAGGAGACAGCTGGTTATTATCACCGTTCCCTCCAGATCGGCTGCAACAACAGTACTCGTTAGGCTAGTCGAAGTCGCAAACTGCGAGCATGTAACGACTTTGTTTTAAGGGAGAGCTGACTTGGGATCTTAATCTCGCATGGGGCAGTCAGGGTTTTTTTTGTATGTCTCTGTCAAATGCGAAATTAAACTATGGCCTTTACAGGATATGAGTAAACCAGATTGACCATTAGTCCGCATAAGGTACATACAGGTCCTGGCCAGGCAATCCAAGGCTTATTCTATTTGGAATCTGATTGAGACATAGGTGATCAAACAACCCGCGTGACATCGACTAGATTCCTTCAGCTAGTTATTTGTTCAGGAGGGTCTTCAAGTGGAATTGGCCGAACAAAAGTGGCTCAGATTGTCACCTTGGGGCAGGTTCGTTATTTATAGAAAGAAAAGGGGTAGATTCGCCGTTCTCTCACCTACGCTTACCCTTTTCAGCTGAAGGACTGCGACCAGTAGGGCGAGCACCTCCTAGGGGACACCCACATGCGCCAGGTTACGCAGGACTCGAGTCCTGGACATAGAACCAAACGTTAATATAGCTCAATATAACTCAATTTGTGTCTTTCAGAAACGAATCGAGTCACACAGAATGAGCCATCTTAGATAACTGTTTCCAGCCTCCGTACATTTTAGCGAAATGACCTCGAATAATGTACCTGAGGGACACTATTTGAGCTCTATAATTTTGGTTTCGTTGGATAAGCTTGTTGATCATTAATTTGTGGGCTTGCCGGTTCACCAGCTCTGAGCCTTGTGAAGATGATGATTACCGTTCCCGTATGATTCGGATTTCGTGGGTGCATTCGAAGACATTGCTTTTTATTTATTACGAATCGTGTACAGGTTGTTCAGGCTGCGTGATGTGACGCACGCATGCACAGTCGACGTAGAATATCAAAGTTTTACCATATGGCAAATCATTGCAACTTCGGTGCTGAGTGCCAGCACGTGGAGACTAGACGCAAACAAAATTAGCAGCAGTTCTTCTATCCTGACAGCGATGCCGCACACCCCTTTGACCACGTCACCCACGTAACTAAAAATAAAAATTTAGTGTTCCTGTTTCGTAGCTTGTATGATCTATAGATGCGATGTTTTTGGTAACGCATGAAATTACAATTGCCTTCAATTGTTTTTTGCTATGTATAATGTTACATCAATTTTTTGCCCATTTTACGTAATTTTTACAACGATATTTTATTCATGGCACTTGTAGTGGTGACCTCAAACGTGGGTAGATCTTTCGTCTAGTAGAGTTCAAAGTGAAGTTTAATGTAAACGTGACTTAAATTTGAAACCGAAACAGTGTGTAGCAAAGACTACTCGATAATGATTTTCTTGCATACTTAGGTCCATATTTTCGCAATAGATTTTATCGTTTACGAAGCTAGATCTCATGTTGGTCTTACGTCTTGACGCGCGTTGTACCAGACGGGACTGATTCACTAGCAATAGCCAATCTAGATATTTACATTCAACCCTAGGTCAATCATATGACCTTGACGACAGATGCCTTCCTATCAGATACAGGCTAGTATACGTTATTGTTATTATGCTATTGTGTTTTACGGCAACGACGCTCTGCATGCATAGATATTTAATAGACATACGATTTAACTCTGTCCGTTTCAGCATACGTGGCAAGTTATAGGGAGAAGGAATGGGCTGCAACTCGTTTTGACCCCATTGGCATAAATAAAACATTCTGGTATTTGTCTAGATACAGAAGAAGACGTTCGCTATGATAAGTTAAACTTGAATTTTGTTCGTTGTTATTTTCAGGCGATATTCTGCAAGGCGATTATCGTGATACATATGACAACCTGGCTTTTAAGTCTGTTTCAATGCTGTCGCATTTCTCTATAACATACCCTCATCCTACGTACATCATGAAGACGGACGATGATATATTTGTAAACGTACCAAAACTTGTCAACTTTCTAAGCACTACTCATCCATTGGGTAAGCAGAACGACACCCTGCGGCTAGGATAAATGATAACTGCTGTAAAATTAAGACTCATTCAATAATAGCGACAGACACCGAATCGCATAAAAAAAGTTCTTCAAGATGCGTCCTTTCCATACAGAGATAGCAGCTTCGTAATGTTCACAGACTAAGCATCTGCCAACTGAAATATAATTCATATTTTATCGAAAAAACACGTCGTTCAATATGCTGAAGGTCCAAGCAAAAAATCTAACGTCAGGAGAACTATCGGAGGAACAATATCAGTGACGTCGTTATGACGTGCGAATATTTTCCTTCCCTTGAAAGAAGCTCGACGTTTGTATAATGTCTACGAGTGGTCGGCAGAACTTTTCCTAACTTTTTCTATCTTACGGTTCACTTGAACCCAGTAACAATCCTTTAACTGCCAAAAGCTGTGTTTACACACAAGATGGCAACAAGTGTACGCTGGAAGCAATCTAACAATACGCAGGTATAATAAAACGTCGCACAGTACAACGTTTCTGTCAGCATTGGATCGCGTACACTTTATTGAATTTGGATATTGTGAAATGAAGGGAGCCAAGAGGCACCGTTGCTCTGAGGTGGTTAGGTGGGCTTGGCTTCTGTTACATTGAACCGGGCAGAAAAATGATGTCTAACTTAGCCATCTTGTTGGCACCCGACGGACGTAACAGCGAACATGTGGAGAATTTAAGCGCGAAGGAAAGCGTTGTCTTAATCATGTATCACCGTGGCTGTGTTATATTGACTTGTCAAAGGCTGCAAGGCATGCATCATCTAACAACAGTCACCCTTAACAGTTAACATCTTCCATGGGTTACCGTTGACTACTGAAGACGTCAGAAGATTAGAACAGGCTTGACTCGATGGCTGCTAGTTCATTGAGATGACTGGATTCTCAAGCAGAGCATAACGTTACAACAATGCCAGCGTTTCCGAGCCTCTAGAATCTTCTACCGATAATCCTATCGACAGTAATTATTCAATAATACTCGAACGTTTATCATTCGTTTAATAGTCGATTAGTGACGAGCCGTCTTGCCGCAGGTGGCTGCCAAATCTGATAATTGTAGAACAATATCCGCAGACATTTCTATGAGACGCTTTGCGAGCCAGCGTCGAAATAAATGAACGGAATATTCCGAAGCTAGAAAGTAAGCAGAACCAATAATGGTTTAAAATTAATTTTGAAAAATTTTGAAATTTTGAGCGATTGAAGGCGAATAAATAGCTGGTCATAACGTCGCTTTCCATTTCACAATCAGAACAACACAACTGTTCTCGACGATGCCATCCGCCGTATACTTACGCTACGGCTTATTTTTGGCAGGTAAGAACTAAACGACTGAAGCCGATTCCAAGTTCGCCTCTTGGATTTCAGCGAACAAATACATGTTGATGTTAAAGAACGATGTCAGCTTAATCATAGTAGAATGCACACATTGACCAATGCCTTGCTCGGTTAATGCCTGGTCGTCGTCGTCGTCGCTCCTCATCTTTGTTTGACCCCATGGCGGTCAGACATCAGCTTCGTGTTTTGGCTGTTGTTACACCGCTGAAATTAGCGATGCCATTCAATCGACTGTCGGGTTCTTGTATTATGCAGAGGGTCTTCATCACTGCGTCGCTATTGTCAGCGTGAAAGCGACTCGGACCCGCAAGTGAACCAGAGAAGTCTAGCTATACCTCAGTGTGCCGTTGCAGCTGAAGCCGTCTGAAGGCACATCTAACGATTTGGCGAGTTCACGTGTTTCAGATGCAGTTTAAATATACTCCTCCATATTCAAGTACAGCAAAAGAAAGCCTTTTACGGTAGATGACAGTGCATAGAATATGTTTGGCGATTCATCTAAACACCTCGAAACAGTCATAATGATTTAGCCATGATGACGGTTCATCTCACACGCTCAGACGACTGTTGATGGAAACGTTACTTGCAATTTTGCGCCGAAACGTCCGAATTACACGTTCGAGTAGCAAGATCGATTCATCATTAACAGTTTAACGGGCGCTTGTATTGAAATCTATCGAAATCAAGCACGACATAAATGCTTGTGTAGTTAGTGTTAGTCGGTGGGATAAACATGTAGTGCACCGGATTGGCTGAGGTTCACATTTAGACTATTTTTCCTCACGTAGAATCCTATAGTTCGCCTAGGACCGGGCGATGTGGGCAAGCGTAATTCTTACTGAGGATGGCACAGAAGACTTCTTGACTTGCCCTGAAGTACAACAAGCTTTACATAGCATCGGCACAGTCCAACAAAAAAAAATAACAAATTATTTTGTTATTTTGATTTCCTACCGTCTTTTTTTGTCAATCCAGGCATTGTCGGTTGCGATAAAAGTCAGGAGTTGCTTCCATTTGGCCCAATGGGAGAATCCGTACCGGCTGCATTGGCCATTTCGCCGTTCGTCGTAGGAGCTGGATACGTGATACACCGTAAGTGGATATCGACATATTGGCGGCTTATTGTCGATTTAGCCGATGAACTATTAACAACTTCTAAATCCGGATAGCAAACATTTAATCGATCCATAAAATTTATTATGGATTCCGTATTAGAAAAATAGAACTAGAAACTCTATGCTTACACGGTCTTTGTCGTAGCACCATTTCCCAAATGTCAATACTACATGCTGAGACATTGGGTTACATCTTGGTATAGACATATATAAAGACTCGGGCGTTCCCACTAATCGGTTACACGATAAGCCGGCCATACCTTCGATCCTAATGGATAAAGTGTTATGTTAAAAAAAAACAATTTGATCAGCGTGTACGTTCATTTTTTTCCAGCGTGTCACTGACACTTGGTTAAGACAAGCTAGTTTGATTTTGGCAGGACGACGTTCAAAAACCATTTTGAAAGGTGTATGGTGCCGTTCTGAATTGGTTGTAAAGTTCGCAAATCGAAACATCACGGAATATCTCTGAAAGTGGCATAAATTCCAGACAAGGCACGTACCAAGACAGGTCTAGTTACATGATTAACACGGGAAAATTGAATTCATCCATTGTTGCTTCTAAATCGTATCTTTGTGGTAGCTGAAAGGCGCGGGAAGACTTGAGAAAATGTGACTGTAAAATTAAAGATTAAGTGTTTCTAATTTCATATCATTTATTTTACTTACGACTCAGATTTTACTACTGTAATAAAATATTTGAATTATAGCTAAGTTTACATGTGAGTATTGTTGAAAGAAGCTGTGGGTCTCAGCTTTCACGACCCAATATTTAGTGAGGACCGTAAGTATTATTCCGTGGTAAAAACTCTTTTAGTCAATGGTCAAAAGCTTTGCCATTTATGTAAGTACCACCTCAGTTTAGAGTGGTCAAAGCAGTACTTCGAAAAAACAGCGGTTGTACAGTTGTTAAGTAGAATGAATTTATGAGAGATTCTGCAATGTACACATTACAGGTTAAGTAAATGAATTGTTTAAAAATTCCATTTCCTGCTCTGTTCAAAAATAATATTAGCTTTCAGAATGCATCAGTCGTACATCCAACATCACAAGCACGACTTACAGCTTAGCTGAAAATCGAATATAGAATAGTTTATTCCAGTAAATTATATCATGATGACATGTAAGTATAGGGCGCACGTTAACGACCTTTTACCGATATCAAATTCTTCTTTTAGCTGCATTGCCCATTTGCTTTAACTCTACCTTCAGGTGACACAGCTCTATCTCTACCATCTGGATGTCTTCGTTCGGACCCAATTCCTGTGGAAGATGTGTACCTAACGTCACGCTGCGCCCGGGCTGCTACGCCTCCCACTAGAGTGCCTACCCACCATAGGGGATTCAGTTGTGGGCGTTGGGTCCAGCACCCCTGTGAGCTTGCTCACGCATTTACTGGCCATCATATGAGTCCTCAGAGGATGCGAGCTGTTATGAAGACGCTTTCTGAAGGAGAGTGTTCGCACCCAGAAAACGAATATTTAATGCATTGACCTGTGATATTATGCGCAAAGCAACTATGCATATATAGCTTAGCCTAGCTTAAAAAGTCATCTTGGAAAATACCGACGTGAAGAATACGGCTCGTTGTCAATTGATCGCGAGTGAAAATTTTCTCTGAGTAAATTAACCAAACCCTGTGGCACAATTTACTTCTAAAAAAACATGAGCTGATTTTTTGGAAGCGTGTGACTTGCTTTTTACTTAATCTAATGATAATAATAGTAACGATTCCTGCTCAGTGCTATCATTCCGGCTGTTATTTGTAAATCGGTACCATTATGACTGTAGAAATCTTCATTTTACACACAGAACAGATGAACCATCATTGTGTCAGAAAATCTTTATTGAATAGTAACCGAGCGATTGGTATCTAATCTCAAACCTATCTAAACCGGCCTTTACCCATTTCTTAACCGTATTCTACCTGCCTGCTTCCAGGTGGCGTGCGCAGCAGGCGCCCTTTGCTGCTAGAAAATGTTGCAAAGCTCATTCCATAAGAAAGGATTAGAAGGGCTGATATTTATGTCTTATTTTGGAAATAACACAAAAGTAGAAAACTAAGTTGAAACAAAGGACGAACGTATATTAAAAATAAAACATCGCGTAGTTATTATGTGTTTATCGGGTCCAGTCTTGAAATGCGTCCATTTATCGTGGAACAACCTACGGTTAAGGTTAAATATAATACAACGTAAAGATATTTAATTAAAAAAAGGGGTCGTCCTAGAGGTTGTAATAGGCCAGAAAAAACATGACGTAGTCCATGAGGGCTCATTTTTAGTTGACTTAGCAACCCACCGAACTAAAATAAAACTATGAGAATTATTATACGAGGTTATTGTTGTAAAAATAAAGTGACTATTTTGCCCATAATAGGAAACAAAACAGTGCGAAACACACTGGGCAATTTTGTCCTCCTATGCTTCGATGAATTCTTATGGGTGGAAGGGGTGATTGGTCTTTAGAAACGGGCTCCCTACTGTGCCGTCATTAAACGCACAATTAAATATTATTGAAAGTTATGCTGCAAATGTCAGTTTGGCAAACATCATTCTGCTACAAGACGGTCTGATCTTTCATAAATCCGTGCTGACGTTCTGGTAGTTTCTCGAATATCCATAATGTATGTATTAGCGTGTAATTTTCGTGGTTTTTAGCAGAGATCTGTTATTTAGCTTTTCTGCCTCCTGTAAAGAAATGCTGCTGGTTCTACTTTTCAAGTAAAGGATTACGATAGTGCCCGTGCTAGGTCGGACTTCTCCTGAACAGTGTTACCCTCGGAAAGGAAACAGGAAATACTGTTATGCAAATTTCGGTGCCCGTGAGCAAATCCTTCAGCATCATACATGGTTAGAAACTTTCCTTCGAACCTCCGGTGGTTTATCAATACTTTGGTTAGGTAAAGTTGGTACGTTTTACGTCCTCCGCATTTCCTGAAACAGGATGGACACTCGGAATGCATCAACTTTTTAATGAAGTAAGTCAAAAGATATACAGTTCAGCTATACTAATATACTACTAAGTTGCTATGTCTGATGACCGCAATGGTGTTGGAATTGGCATTCAAACAATTTAGACGTTAATGCTGCCTGAAATTAGGCTTTCTCATTTTCTTAAATTTCATATGAATACTACCGACGAGAGGCGGGAATCGCCATAAAGTAAGGATTGAATCAAATATTTTGTTCCGTCCGATCGCTCGGGCACAATAGAAGATTTTAGTATATTTTTATTTAGCTGGTTCAGTTCGACCTAAATGCTGAAAGAAGCAAAAATATGTTTCTTTAAACTAGGCTGGAAGAACGCTGTTTTATTTTACGCAAGGACGCCTTTGATTGTAATTGTGATTGTACGGTTTATAAATAAATTCTTTTTTTTTTTGGTAAGGTTTTGCATATTTATGAAAAACTTAACCGGGTCGAAAAAAAAATGTACATATATAAACAATGCTTCAATTCAGATTTACATGGGATGACTAAAAGTCCATCATAATATTTAGTATTATAGTAGAAGGATAACTTCAGATTATTTCAGTTCTGGTTTGCAGAGGTTATGAACAGTTTTTCTGATACACTTTACTCGATATCTGTAAAAAAACAAAGTACAAATGCTTGTAACTTTTTATTCGTTTTTTTAGCATGCTGAGAATATCAATCGATATGTTAGTACAATCATTCTGTAAGAAGTTACAGCCAGCTTCGTTTGTAATACTTGTAGGATTAACAGAGAGATTGTACCCTCAATAAAGCCTTTTTTGGATTGGACTAATTAAATGAGCTGCCGATTGCAACATCATTCGACATGAGTGTCGGCATCGTTTCCCCATACGGTTGCGACTTTTCAACAAATTTTTTTAACCCTAAATCTCACACTTGAAATTCTATTTCTTTTGTTAGATTTATCATGTCCCCAGGTTGTTTTTTTAGTAGCGTATCAGTTCTTTCCGTTTGCGTACCCTCGTCCTAGGGACTCTGTATTTAACGAATAATTTGATGTAACTTGTTCAGCTCTTGATCAATCAAATCACCCTAGAACATTAGTGATGATGATGATGATGATGCGAAAATACGTGAGTAAATTAGAAAAAAAAAAAGTAGTTTTAGCTTAGCGACATATGACATAGAGCTTTAGTACATAAAATTGATGTTTACAAAAGTTCTCAAAAAAATTCATTGAGTGTTGATCCATAATTAGGATTGGCGTAAAAGAAATTTTGTTTGTCGAACTCATGTTGAAAATCCTTGTATCCTGTATACCTGGTAAAGTTATTTAAGTTTGTTCAGTGTTGACAGTTGAAACACCTTCGTAACGCTTTCTCGGAAATAGATTCATCATGATTATCCCGTTCCTTCCGCTATCATTGGATAGAAAGTTGACAGTTTGCAAGTTGGCAGATGCCATTTGGTAGAGGTTGCACGCTCACGATGTCTACGAATAGGCTAAACTGTATTCGATTACTCGGATATAGACCGCCTAGAACTTAGAATACTAGAAATCAAGTTAACTACCGGTGAGGTAAACGAATCACTGAAATGTCCCATTACATTATTATAAGTTAAACTGTGTAAAAAAGTTTGTCACAAAGTTAAAGAGAAAAATAGGACTTTGCGGATGGTAACTGAAGTTGCATATGAGGTAAGTACCCGCTGCGATGGTACGAGCTGCTCTTTTTCTAGATGAAATAGTTGGCTATCAATACAGAACTAGTGATATGCATTTACTGACAATAAAAGAGTATGGAAAAAATGACCATGGAAAACGGCAAAGTGCAATTGAGGTCGTCTCATAGGTCTTGCGGACCTTTTAATTTGAAAGAGCTCTTTTTGCGCTTGAATAGGCATAAAAGGAAGTATTATATCTTATCAAGCCTTCGGGCTGCTTGATCTACTGATTTGTGTCAATCGCATACGTAACTATGGGGAACATACTAGAAAATTGATTACTTTGCACGAAGATCACATTGTACTGGTGCGCGATATTTAGATACGGGAAATATTTAGCAATCGGTTAAAGCGAGAAGCATCCCATGTAGAATTGGTGATGATCTTATAATACAACTATTAGAAGAACGCGACTGCAACAAGATCTGACAGTTTCCATTTAACCAGGTGACAAACGTCGCTCCGAATGGTCGTTTGTTAAGCCTATCGGTGAAATGGTATGATTACAGCCCAACGGTGACGAGCTGGCTTTTCTATAAGAATATCTCATTCGTACCTATTAGCGCCCTGTTGTCTAAGTGTACGTACGTCGTATCCCCAAGACTTACTTGACGCTAAGATATTGGGACAGATTTACGTGTGGTCGTGATCAGCCACAAAATAGATTCACAGTTGTCTAATGGGAAACCAATATCTCAGAGTGTTGGCTTCGAACGACTTCCAGAATCGATTCGATCAACGGAGCTCGTTGCTATTGGCATTATGTTTAATAAGTGGTTAGTTTTGTATAATACATCAAAAGTGTATGGTTTCTACTGTGTGTGTTAGATGTTGAAGCGCGTGGATACTACACTGGACGTGGGCCATTATTGCGTCGGCAAAACGTTACTATTTAGCTTTGAGTTCTTGAATCAGAATTACTTTAAGCGGCTTTCGAGGGAAAGCTCGAATTTATTGTTAGCTCTGGACCTCCCAAATCGTCGGAAATCTACTGAGTGGAAATAGATATACTTGTATTTATTTGCAAGTGTGAGATAAAGTGAGCTGGTACTGATAAAATGATCCGGCGACGATGGTAGGATGATAAGTTAGTTGCACCTAATATTAGAGTAACATTTGCTAGATGCCATCGTTTATCTGTCGTTTCGATGTCATCCGCGATGGGATTTACTCTGATCATTTTTTTAGAACAGAAGCCTTTCTTCATTTAAATATACGTTTAGTTTTTGACGCGATCATCCTCAAGGGCCTCGCCCTGTGTATCGGTAGCGCAACTTTTCCAGTTGAGGCACGGGTCGTATTTCTCTACTCTTTAATGATGAAAACGCGTAAAGAAGGGCATACCATTTCAACTACTTGTTTTTCTTCGTTTCGATGTAGCGGCTAAAATTTGTCATCGGTGATTGTATTTTAGGCAGACTGGTACTTGGAGGTTTATCCTGTAGTTTTTACTGTTTTTTTTTACCGAAGAGAAACGTTTAGTAGCGTCAAGTCTCATGATCGTTGTAGCCATGGTAGAGGTGCTTCGTTTGAGATCAACAGTTCGCCCAGCCTCGCGTCTCTAACAGCAGCGACAGTGACTAATAATACGGTTTTGTTATTAATTAATAGCTAATACAATTTTATATTATAAAGTCAATACAGGTTATTCAGTGTTAACCACAAAAAATCGCTTTAGAAAAACCAAAGAAAGCCTTTTATACCCGGGCCTAAAAAGCGGTTCTGTAATTTCCGAGTGGAGTCTATACTATGCGGTTTTCCCAAACAGTCACATGTGTATCTCTCCGTATGCGAACAGCTTGCTCGTTCTATTGCAAGAACCGGAAGCTGCAGAACGTTACTTGTAAAACGCATGTAAATTAAAAAAAAAAACCTAAATTTAGTAATAGAATAACCGTTATTGCAGTTCCTCGTGGAATACTCAGACAAATTTTAGATAACTTCCGTTGCTGCTTGCCAACTGTAGTAGTAAGGCCGTCTTTCGGTAAATCCTATTCAAAGACTTCTGTGTTAATATTGTCTATTGAAAACAATAAACTTTATTTTACAATGAATGTTGATGCCGGTCTTCTCTTTATTTGAGCAATTTATGTCAATAAGTCGTGTGCATTTGAAAGGACTACTTTAAGCAGCATAATGAGCCTTGATTATATCGAACCACTATCTTTTCCTACGTGTACTTAGACATCGATTTGATTTTTTCTTCTAATTTTTTTTTTAGTAGCTATTTATAGCTTCGAAGTACTTGCTTGGAGGACAAACGTACTCCTGACCCTATTCGGCCTATTTTATGCTGTTAAAGGACTGCAACCTTTTATAGCACTCATTAAATCATTACTGATCGTTGCAATAGACTATCACGTGCATTTTTTTCAATGCGGTTTTTAATTAAGTAGTTCTTTGAAAAGCTGTACAAGCGCAACTTATTTTCTCTGTCCGTCTTTCGCTAAAGAAAAACAATGCTATCTAGACCTAGATACATGGGGAGTTTGCCACTAGAACGTATTAGGACAGTACTTTCAGTACAGTCCCCAGTGGGCATGTTTAACGGCTCATAGCTTGTCTTGAGCTGGGTTTGAAGCATTTTTCTAATCAAACAAAGCACACGTGTGTGACTGGTACGGCTAATGAAAGTGATAGTTCGTGAAAAATCTACCCTTTGAACTATATGATCCTATTACAGAAACAATGGAACGGACACAAAATCCAAGTGTCGTACCGCTTCTTTAAATTGTAAATCTACTAAAGAATAAAGTAGAGCGTTAACAAAAAAACGTCCCTTTTTTCAACGTTTGCAGGCTCGTTGCGGCCAGTTGCTGCGCGGTCGTAACGGCAATCGACTCATCGCTAATTAATACGTCTAGTAAGTTCGAATTTTCGTTTTCGTTCGTATAAGAATCGACGTTGCAGCAGCATGAACATAAAATCTGTGCAAAATTCGTAAAACGAATCGATTTATAGACGGAATACAAATGGATTGACTAGTCTCGTGCAAAGGCCATATTTAGTTATTGACAAACGTATTTCAGCCGATTTCGGGGTTTTATGAAAAGATTAATCATTGATTTCGTGTTACAAGCTTTCCCATGCGTTAGCGTCGAACGATAGCGATCCGCATAGGGGCATTGATCAAATGTTTATAGAAACGCTGTTAAACTAAAAAGATATACTTTCTTAATCAAAGGTTTTCTTTTTTTTTTTTTTGTTTTATTATAATGAGAAAATGATGCTATAAAGAATCATATGAATATTTTTATGGAAAGTTCCGCATATGGATTTGAGAATTGTTCATTATATTCGGCAACTTAGAAATTTGCGTAGAATTAATTTAAGCTTTCTTAGAGAACGTTATATAGTATAGTGAATAATGCCAAAAATAAAAAAAAAAAACTAGATAACGAAAAAAAGATACTGTGTTTTTTTTGTTATCTAGAATAGAACCGTGAAGCATGTATATGTTGGTCAATTTTCAAAGACAAGATAGCTCTGTGCCTTGCTCGAGCGGGTCACCTACCTTCCCTGAATGATATATGCTTGCGTGAGTCACGCTACACATATTGATGTAAAGCTATGTTAATCAGCTTCTATTGATGTCGTACATTGATTAAACTAAAGATGATTTACTCGTGTGACTTTATCTGCATTCTGTATGACAAGCCTGCGGTATCTCTACGACGGGGCGTATCGTCAATGGCGTTCAAGCGGCTTCCGGAGAACTGCCCTGGGTTGTGAATATTCACATCTATGTAGCAGGAGGTATCAATCGATGCTCAGGCTCGATTCTCACCGTTCGCCACGTACTTACGGCCGCCCATTGTTTAGACAGGTGCGTCACTTACCGCGTCGTTAGGAATGATTTAGCCGTCACTCGCTGGCACGTAATACGTATGAGTAATATACTACGCACCGTCCGTGCGCCAATCCTATCGTCAGACAGCCCCTGGTCAACGGTAAAGATGTCATTTCTTTAATTGCCTATTCATTTTTAATTGTCGTTACATACTTGAAGAAGCTTGCCGGTGCCCTGCTATCGCACAGTGTCTATATGCCTAACAATGTATTTTGAAGGCCACACTGCTCATGTAAATCGTTCTAATTTGACGCGCATCGCCCTGCTTCATATGATAGAACCGGCGGAATATACATCAACCGCAGGCCATTTACGCTTTTCGTTAATTCAACACAGCGGGACCAACAAGTAGAAACAATTCTTCTTGGCCTAGAAAGCAGCGGAAATTTTCGGAGTAACCAGACTGCTAATCTGTATATCACATTCTGACCAAAATGGCGTGCTACTACTAGCAGCTGCTAGAACGCTGCATAATGGATATTGTATACAGAATGTTGAACAATCGATTTGTCATATAGTTCAATAAAATACACTAGAAAAAAATTGAGAACCGTAATATATGCTCTAGTTCCTTCTTCAAGTAGGTCGAACTAACTTCATTATGTTAAATTGACTCTCGCACAGATCTACCAAGCACATTGTTATCATGTACGGCAGTAACACCCTGAATACCAGTCAACGTGTTGACGTTTCATCTCTCATTGTGTAAGTAAAATAATATACAAGGTTATGTTATAAGTTACAAAGTAACTATAATGGTAGCTTTGCTGTCAGTGAACGTGTTCAAGGTCTGCTAACGATTACAAAGTGCTGTGCGCTGCCATAATGCTAAAAAACAGCTATAGTCTCAGAAGATTGCTCTTATTTCTACCAGTTCCTTTAGCAAGCTTGCTACACAACGGGTCTACACCTGTAACAGCCTAGAAGGCGGGTTGGCTAATCTGATTGCAGCATGCTTTCAGATGTGACTACATCATTCAACATGCGGTCCCTACGTTAGTAAACACCAATTTTATAATTCGTTTTGAGCTACAATAAGTTAGTTTTTTTAAACGCTTTAGAATGCCACACAGCAGTTAATTATTTTGCGCTATACATATGCATAGAATAGTAAAGATTGTCAACCTGTGCAGGGAATGGTTTTAACAACACTATTTGGTTTAACCGTTTACCAATAGCCCCGGTATACAAACTACGCAAAGACACTGAGCTACTTCAGTCTGTGTTTCAGTTTCGCTCTCTGTCGAATCAACCTCTAATAAATATCTGTCTCATAATCTCATGCCGTACAGACACCCCAAGTTTGACTCAGCTGAGCTCCTTAATGATGTAATGGTGTTAAGGCTTGCACGGGACGTCGTATATAGCAGATTTGTACGCCCTATTTGTTTGCCTGACGGCAATCTGCGCCCAAGAAATCTTGTTCAGAGAGCCGGTCTGGTGGCCGGATTTGGGGCACTTATCGATCCTAATTACTTGGAGCGTACTAGACAATGTAAGTATAAAATGAGTCTTTCATTGCACGACCTCTAACAGCTGGTCGCTAGTGCCCATAATAAGTCATTGAGGTTTCAAACCAACAGAATCTTTCTTTCGGATTTATGCACGATCCACAACAAATTTGCCTCCCTTACCACCCTAGTTAGCGAAGACCTAACCAGCGGAAGACGAAGAATAATCGGATCTCTTATAGGGACGCTCATCAAAAGTCTTATATGTAGATAGCCAGTATCCACTTTAGAAGTAATTTGCATTAGTTAATGTTAATCAAATTTAATTATGTTCTCTTACATACGTATTGTTCCCGTTCCCTGCGTACATTCGCTTCTTCTTAGCCGCGTCAAAAGCTGACACCAGCATTCTCATGAAAACTTCCCTTCGTATCCTTGACGACCGTGAGTGCTATAAGCGATATCTCGATGAAGCGACTGGATCATCGCACTTCCATATTGGTTATCAAATGTGTACCTTCGAGTACAACTCAGACACATGTGTCGTAAGTTAATGGATAAAAAACATGTTCCTTTATGGTACGCCGGAGGTTTTTTGATGCATGATACATAGTTTAATAAAATACCTTTCCTTAGCAAGTAAGCATTAGGGCTGGCAATCGTGTTAGGAATAGGCTTGACCATTGTGAAGATTTCCAGTCTGGCAGTAGCGGGAAAATAGTTTATGACAATTTTGACTTAATCTCCTGTCGTGCAGATCTAATCATCTAACGATCAAGATCGTTTAAAAAAAGCCAAGTGTAGATAGTACTCGAAGAATATACACGGAGTCAGATCATTATAAAGGAGCGCACCAACGATTCCCAACGTCTTTTTTATTCGGAGGCGACTGGGCTACGTCTGTTTGCAGCGCAATACCACTTTTTCCAGTAAGTTCTGATGCCCAATTTTTTAGCGCTAATTAGAGCGTCTTCGTCAGTTTTGTTTTATTATGATTTCGTTTCGCCTCGATTCGGATTCAAGATTGTGTCGCGTAAATTGACGAAACGATGTCGTCAGAAACAGCACAGATTTAGGCAAGGGTACTTGCCACGGGGCTCGGAGTCTAATCCTGATGACGAAAATCACACGAGTTTATCCACGAGAGGGATCGAATTTAAGTTCTCACATGGTTTTTATAGTAGCACGTTTAATCGCTTGCTTATAATTTTATTCATAGAAGATTCGTTGACATCGTAACGAGCCTCTCGGTGACCGAGAAATTCGAACGTTATGTCAATTTATTATTACAAGACAGAAAGTTTTTGCTAAAGTGTGTGCATGTCTGGATTATCTTTAGTCTTTAGTCGTATGTCCTGCGTTTCGCTTTGCGTACGCAATGTAGATATGGACGACCATGAGTCTTCCATTTTATAATTATAGTTATAATAATAGTTCTATCAAAATCGTGGACTACAAGACATTCTGCGACCCATTATAGAAACTGGCAAACACTAATTAGAACAGATCAGGATCCCATATCTTAGTTACATCATAACAGCGCGTGCGTACTCGAGCACCTTACGAGAAAAACTCCTGAGCACCAGGTTTTTTTTTCTGCAAATTCTAATCTTCTACTTTACCGTTCGCAAGTAGAAATCTAAGAAGCACTACTTTCTCATACATGCGACTTCATGCGTACAAACGCATTTCGTGTTTACCAACTGAATTTCAAAGCCTACACCTAACATTTGAGTACACAAATAAGAGATTTATCCGATGCACGAACATGACTGAAAGGAAAAACATCGATAACGTGTAACCATTTCAGGGGGACTCAGGCGGAGCTTTGACAGTGAGCGTCGGGGGACGATTTTATCAAGTGAGTTCTTCGCCGTTTTTATGTGTGTATTAGCGACGGCTTTTTTGCTAGAAAAATACGAAATTGTCTCACAAGTGTCACAAATATTCTTAATTCGATTGATTTATTTGAATTTTAGAAAGTGGTTCTTCTAATGGGGTGGTACGGGTACCGGGTTGTCAGTTTTGAAGTCTCGGCTGTATATATTTGTCTGATCAGCGCGAAATTCATTATATTTTCCATTCGTAATATATTCAAAATTGATCCCCGCCGTGTCATTATGCACTGTGGCATCTTACAATATTTCGCACTTAAACTTATATCGTACTCTATAGCATTTTTTTTATCAGAAATTCTCTCCGTGACGCTCATATCAATCGAAATTCAACGATTCATAAAGTGATTCATTACTTCGCAAGACACTTTGGGTACTTGTTTTTTAAGCATCATCTGTCAACTGGCCAGCGGTTCTAACAGTAGACCTATCTTCCATTTATAAAATGACAAATACCAGCGAGCTATGAGTTATGCGACGGAAGTAATTTTTGCCGGTGTGTCCTTTGAATTGAACGTCGACTTAATGGCTCTACTATGTCACCTGGTCAACTTGTTCATCAGTAACTTGTTCCCATGGGGTGTCGGAAAGTAAAATATGTCTATATCAGCGTGGCATCTAATCCGGGCCCCTTCTTTGCAGGTGGGTATCGTTTCCGGAGGTTTGGAGTGCGCTGGCACTTCTCCTGGAGTATACGTCAATGTATTCAATTATGTGGATTGGATTGCCAGAGCTGTTAAACATTTACGTTGAAAATACATTATCGCTTCCGTACTACCCGAAAAAGTGTTTTTTTTTTTTTTTTTTTTTTTTATCTTCATAGTTGCGAGAAAGAGAAGTAGAAAATAAACATGTGAAATGTACATTTAAACAACGGTGCATATTTTCGAAAACAACAGATAAATTAGATCATATTTGAAAATACATCATTCGCGCATCTAGGGCTGTACTACTATCACTGACATATTCCATCTACGCCCTTTGTTTCCCTTTGGTGATATTCTCATATGATAGGTTGTTGATATCAGCTGAATTTACATACGGCACTAATTTATCTAAATCATTCATTCATTCCTGAAGAAAAGCAAGTACTCGCCGAGCTAGAAGTGATTTCCTTCTGTCGTTCATATCGATCAGCTCTTCGTGGCCCTTTGCAGTATAATTTTGCCCTACTTAACAGTGGAACTACTCAATATCACCCATGGTCCACCCGAAATGCAGGCTGGGGCAAAATTTGAATAACTTTAAATTAGTTGCTAGCCTATCAGTCGAAATAAACGCTTCTACTGTAACTTTTAGTAGTAATAATTGATAGGGCGCACTTCTTTAAGACGCCGTACGGGGTAACCATTTGTTGAAGTCAATTGTCTAGATCTTTTATCGGCTACCTTTCAAGAGTCCACTGACGCCAACATAGCAGTTGGCATAAAGTTTTTTGCTATAAAACATTGCAAACATAATTTATTATTTAACTTTATTAACGAAAAGTGTAGCTATCAAGCTTTAAATGAAGCGACTAGTTCAGAAAACTTTACGACGAGTTCCTGCAAAGGGTGGCCGCATTATGCTACGAGCAATTCAATGCTTCAATGTAGCGGCTTGAAAAAGTATTCAAGCTCCTTTATTGAACGTTTGGCTCGAAAATACCTTTTAGTCAGCAGTATATACATTTTACTGTTGGTAACGAGAGTGTTTTTTATTGATCTGTTACGTTTTTAGGTTAAAGAACGCTCCCAATGTAAGTGAGTTCGATCTGAGCCTGTTACGTGTACAATGTGTTGCCCATTCTAGTCAATTGCTTAAGTACAGTCGAGAGGTTTTTCTTACATGGCACAGTCTTATGGTTCGCTCTCGCTAGAACAAAACTAATACGTTTAAAACTAACTGAGCAGAAATTAGTCTTCAATATGGTGTATACCTAGTGCCCCTGACTCTCGCTCAGGGCCGAAAGAACTAGCAAAGAAATCTTGTATATGAGCTAGCTCCGAACGCCTAACCGGCTTGTTGGAATGATGGTTTCAGCCTTTTCTAGCAATGGTTCAATGTCATACATCTCTTGATAAGGCGACCCAAAGTTAGTAACTTTTTGATTTTTATGGGTATGTAGATACGCTAAGGATGACAATGTCTTTCAGATGCTAATTATCAATAATAAGGCACTGTGTTCCGACCGAAACCCTTTTCAGGTCCCGCTCATCATCTAACTAGTCGTTAGGGGTCGTGAGTTTACGATCGTGCGTTGTGATTCTGCGAAGTTTTCGGCTTTATCTAGATGAAGAGCTGTAGGTAGTGTGGGCAAGGTAACATTATGAAGCAAACTTATATAGGTAAGTTAGTGAATACACTCGCTACCGCGACTCATTGACTAATAAAAAATGATTTGTCGTCAAATGCCACTGTGTTATCACGCGCTAGCTAGTTTCGCTTACTGGGCAAAAATATTCTCTATTTGATCGTGCACTATCAGGCCTTGTTCTCTGATCAGTAAAAATGTTAACACAATCCCTTGTTCCTTAGCCGTACTATACTTTCGGATCGACTGTTACCTAGTAATTTTGTGATTGTTGATTATATCACTTATAGTATTAGGAGCCTTTAAATTGTCTCAGTCTTTACTCGGATGATTGGCGTAAGCGAACCCGAACATGATCAGTAAGTAGTTTAATATAAAAGTGCATGTGCCCAACATCCGTACAGAAGCTTATGGCTTTGCTAAAGCTCGTCTGAGGAGCTTCATCAAATTTTAAGACAACAAAGTAACTAAACAATTATTTCAATACGTTGCACTCAAGAAATGTGAGAAAGCCTAGTGCAGGCCAACGAGCAGACTGCATTAAAAAAAAGGCTGGAAACGTTCGTGGTTTTGCCGGGTCCACACCCCCGATGGCTGGTCCGAGTGGACGTCGTCTTCGGCGTGAGTTTTGACGTTACTGTGATATCAATGATGGTCCTTTCACAAAATGAAAAAGACCATAAGAGCTTTCATCATATTTTTAGTCTAAGCTCGGATTCATTGTTAGTGTTTTTTTTTCAGCACCTAAATTAGCCAGGATCTAATTGTGAGACCGTAATGAAACGCAGCCACTTCTCGTGAATAATTTGAAGTGTTCTTTATATCGTAACATAAGCTTTTGATTATTTGCCCGTTATATTTCTCTATACTATATCTTTCATATTTTATACAGAAAACCTCTTACAGTGAACGAAATTTGATGTCGGGTCAAGGCTCCGCATAGGGAAGTGTCAGGTAAAAAGGAAAGAGTACTTTCAATAATTAGCATAATTATTTAAGGTCACGAAGCTGTCGTAGCCGAACGGGATCTTTGTGCAATGTTAAATATGAAGGCTATGCCTGAACTACTCGGAAATGGTTCGCTAAATTTACTAGTAGCACCTCGCAACGCATCCCGCCCACCCGGAGAGCTATCCGAGTGTAATCAGGTATCTGTCCGATCGCTGAAAAGTTAGAAGCTTAAATACTTTATAAATTGGCTAAAATGTACAAAGAAACGTAGTTTCTCATCCACCCTCAACATTTCGGCCAACGGGATCGAAATTAGAGGTGTCTCTTAATATTAACATGGAAATAAAAAAAGGAACTGACAGCTGACCGAAATGTGTGTAGCTGCGTAATCATGAGTGGTTTCCGTTCTGGGATGACAATGATTTCCGTTTGGCGCCACTGGGCAGAACAAGACGATTAACAAGGCTCTGTACAAAACCCAGCACCGTCTGACGAATGAGCTTCTTCAGAAGCGCAAATAAACTTAATCATCGTATACTTGACTGTGAAATGGGTCCCGAGACTTCGTTAGACGAGCTCTGGCATCTCCATCATCTCTGATCTGGGACGAAATCAATAAAAAATAGTTGGAAAAAGAGATAAAATCGTAGACTGTTAACGAAAATGTATGTTCAGTTGTTAAGTAAATTAACTATAGCCACGGACCTATTTATTATATAGAAAATTATTGCCGCGAGTGATTCGCTTCACAATGTTCTGTTAAAGAAACTTGTGACGGTGGTGCTAGACGACAATGGTTTTACCAAACAAACACGTTAAATCCAAAGGGAACATTACGTAAAGGAACCCCCACAGTAAAATCAATTCATATAATAAATTATTCATATAATAGTAACTTTAAGGTAAGTCTTTTTTGTTCAGAAAGCTGTATCACGTATTCAGCGTTCTTGCACGATACTGTTGTAAGTAATGATCTTTACCGAGTCAATTAAATTATTCCTATTCGTTTCCTATTCGTTTCCTAAAAAAATCCTATAAAAAATTTCTGGGTATACTGCAAGGACACATGTTACGCAGTCATGAGAGTGAAATGCATGGATGCAATATTTGTCTACAAAAGTTGAGCCGTTATCAGTTAGTACAGTTTCCCTACGTACTTCGTATCCTGTCAAGAGGGTTATCTATAAACAATAACTTAATTGGTGTGCTAAAGTGTGTCTATTAAAGAGTAGATGTTGTGAGTATCCTTTCGCGGCGTTCGTCCACACAATCGACGCTGAAGAATATTGCTGACAGCTGCAAACACACAGATACCATGAAGCTCCGTCCGTATTTTAGCTCGCAGCTCGACCTACCCGTCAACGACCCCACTGCATTGTACGATGACAGGAAACAAATGAACCACAGATGTAGTTAAGTATAAAAAGCGAAACGTTCTGGCCAATAAGGACCATTTGCAGTTTGTTGGGAGCTGGAAGTAGAAGCAAAAAGTAAGTAACTGGGGGCTAGCGATTTGCTGCTTGATATGTACTCACATACTACGTAAAAGTTGCAACAACATTATAAATTACGTGAAACTTAATTTAAACTCCCTCGATTTAAAACAGTTACTATCAATTTTATAAAATTGCCAGTCATTGATCAGCGTAATACCGAAATAAACTAAGATCATAAAAGCTTTAAGCGCCGTTGCTCGCGCTTGAACACAAACAAAACAGCTGTATGACAATGGAATTCGGTAAGGTACTAGCGTAGCGGTTTTAAGAGCATCTATAGGCTCCCTTTGAAGCAAATCCCTTGCCTATATATATATATTTTTGAGTGACTTGGCAATTCTAAAAGCACGGCAAGCAGTCACCTAAAGATTCGCCTACAGCCGTTGCGTGATTATTGGAAGTAAATTTGATTTTTTTCCAGAATTCTGTTTCAGCCAATACACGCAGGCGACGCTCTATAATTGGTTCATGCGCTGCGATACTTCGCTCATGACCTAAAGAAAAACAACACTAGACCCCGAATGAATGGCCATGCACAATACATACCGAGGAAGCCGTTCGAAAGTACGACAGTACCCACCGCTGGTCAAATCCAAAGAACTTTCTCTGAGCGAGGTATACTGAACAGAAGAACTATACTATAGCGCTACATATGATTTAGAGGCAGCGTAAATCCTGATCAGCTTTGTTCAGATCAGACTAGCCAAGTGAGAATTTTTCGCCGTAATGAACTTATTATAAGTTAATCCATCTTTTCGAAATACGACGACTCAGTTACTCATAAACGAAAATCGGTCAGTCTAAAGTCAGATATTTGAGCTGTTAGAATTCGAATTATTGCCATCCTAAAATGCAAATGTTGCCTTGGATTCATGCGGCTATGTGCTACACATTAAAGAAAAGTTATGTCTCTTATTGTATTTTGACATTTTTTTAGCAAACTTAGTGAAAATCATCCTCTTTTGAGAAAAGACGCGCCGTTGATGATTTTCGCTCTATTTCTGCCTAAGGATACTTTGTATTCGATAGAGCTGTTCCAACTGCGGTTAAGCATTCCTTCCGACGAGCAACTCTCGCAGCAGGAAACGAAGTGTTTCCATGGCCGGCCTCGATTTCGATTGCCTCGCCTATTCTGAAGCCTATTACTAAAGAGGTACACCTTCACGGAGGCTTCGAAGAGACTTGTCACTACTTCTTCGAAAGCTTGCTCTTGTTTGAAGGAATTGTTTTTTTCCCAGAGCTATCAAAAGGGAACCAAAGTATATCGAAAGGAACCGCTCGCCAATTTCGCAGTTTAAGTGAACACTCCAAGAGTCAGCTATAAATAAATTGACCACATTGTTTTGAGAAATAAATTTGCGCTTATGGTCCCGCTATCCTTTAAGCCTGTAAAAGTATGACAGAGAAAGCCAAAGGCAGGATAAGATCGGTAATATTAGTCATCTGTGAGAATGGCACAAAATCTGAGAGGATGCCTTGCCAAAATTTTTATATATAAAAGGTTGAAATTCTTTTTTGTTGGCCCAGTCTCGGCATCAAGTATCTCATAACTTCCAAATCTAGGATCTTCTTGGATACTGCAACGGAAATCGTGAGGTGCGCGCGTTCTACCTTGTAGCCTTGCAATATCTGTATATCCACCCGACTTGGAACCAATGTAGTTAGCACATAAATGTTTAGAGAAGGCGCGCTATTAAAACTTTGTGAATTATTATTAATTGTGAAAATTACTTGACTCTTATATGACGCATAGTGTGAAAAGATAGGCGAAACCGTGACAATATCACGGCAGAGGACAATTTACATAAAATGTTCACAATCTATGGGGGGTCGTTCGTTGAAGACTTAACAGATGAACGATCTGCCTTAAATAAATTCTACTTCATTTAGGTTTCTTAATTCAACATAGAGGTCGCAAACTATTTTATCAATATGGGCTATACAAAATAATAACTCTAGAGTATCTTAATAATAATTTTTAGAAACTTTGATCATAAAGCTAATTATTATTTTTTAATCGGCCTAATTAAAATTATTTTCTCAATCATTAAACATTCATAGACAACATCTTGTCTAATAAGTATATAACTATATTTTTATATTCAATATCAACTTTATATATATTTTTTTATCATAATCGTTACTGCCGTTGGATGTACAGCGGGTAAATGCTATTACGGTCTAAAGCTTATTAAATAAGAGATGAGGGAAGCATTTCGTTTTCGAACATACAATTATAGTTTTCTAGTACAATTAAATAAATTTAATTAGATGGATTTCAAATGGAAACATAATGTTATAGTGATTACTTATATTTGTTGTTTATTCGAAGTGTGACAGCTTTCTATCACGCTAAATAGCGTAATCGCAAGACATCATCGATATCACATAAAAACCCAAGGTATTTTTCTCAAGATGAAGATGATTTGCTTCATCTTCATATACAATGCTTCGATCATTCCTCAAATGTAGATCTGATTTGATTAGTAAACTTACGATAGTAATTATCAAAACAAAATACAGTCGCAGAAAATAACGCCTAAGAGTAAAGCAGAGGCGCCATATGCCCGCTAGTTATTTTGACTTCATTCAGAATCTCTCAATTAAAGGTTTCTTTGCCCAAAGTAACTTCAACTTTCACTGACGTGCGCCATTCATGTAATCTGTTATTGGACAGGCTCAGTATTATATAACCTACTACGTCTGATACATTTAAGTGGACCTTCCCGAAAGAAAGGGCTTGGCCTTGACTGGAAACTGCATTAACGTGGCATAAATATGGAAGTTTCATATGGCGTTTTTGATCGGAGTGCATCGTTAAGATAAAATTATTAAATAGTGAAATTACCCTCAAGTGGGTAGGTCATGCGATTACAATGGTCAGATCCGGGTTCGACCCCCCCCCCCCAAAAAAAAACCGCCTTAATTGGGGATGCTCCAGCTAAGACTCTTTGTAGGATATTTTAAAGTAATTTAAATGCTTGATAAAATTATTTAACCCTACGGTTAGTTAGATTTGACCAGCGAATAAATATAAAACCCATTTTAGTTGCGCTACATTCAGAACAGATTTGACAGGCGTCATGCGTTGTTGAGCAATTACTTTGCTTATACGAAAAAAAAAAGTTATATGTTGATATAAGATTCTTTTCGACACCGAACTTTTTTTTTTATCTAAACAACTCTCTTTATTTACAAACATCATGTGGTGGCCTACCTGCGTCAACGTGACTACGTACATGTGGACATTAAAACAATCATCAGAGAGACGCCTTCCTCGTAAACAGTATTTTTTTACTATCTTTTTAGCTTAATATTGATTCAGCAAGTAAACACAAATGCAAGTCCCATGATATGCAGTGAAATTTCTGTATCAATACAGGCATCTAGAAAGCTCGCCGATTCATGCCTTATATGTCTCGTTCGGGTAGCTGTGCAAACTTGAGAAGGTCTATTTGTCTTGTAAAATAGGCATTGTTTCATAGCATATGATATTCTTCAATGTTTTACGAAGGCTTTCGATACTTATGGACAGCTAGCCAGACCCAGTTGTTCCCTCAGCTAGGGGAGGTACATCTCGGGGGTATAGGCACTTTTCCAGTCCACAGTGATTGTGATTCAGTTTGCCAGACGTCCGCAGAGGGCGCCTAGGTCGAAGGGGAGAGTCGCTGTTCATATAACGTGGCCGACGGAAACATTTCCGCTAGATGCCATTGTCAGCATCTATCTATAAACGTTTACACGTGCGCGATTAAATCTCGTTTTTGACACATGTGTTAACATTACGAACAAACAATGGTGATAATATTGTTTCATATGGATATATGGCTATAGTAATGCTGAATAAAATTACCAACGTCTAAACGATAGACAAACAAATCCTAGAGAGACTGTGCTGTCCTGAGAAGATTCATAGGAGTTTTGGACTCGGGCAACGGTGTCACGGATGTGTGCAATACTAAACGTGATACGATGAGGCGAACGGGTGGCAGCAGTCTAATGGGGCCTTTGGCTAATTCCACTACAACCTCGACAAGTTTGCCAATTCAAACTTTGACATCGATGCTTAACGCTGGCGACACCGGCGGAGTATTGCTTGATGAGTTCTTTGCGAACTTCACTGAAAGTGAATGTGCTGGCGCATCGATCGCTGCTAACTTTACAAAAGGTATGAATCATTTAAGTTATTATAAATTGAGAACCAACGTTAAAGGATTCACACAACTAATTACCGCTTTTGAACAATCTAATAATTACCAGTCATTTAGTAAAAGCATATGAAAACCTATCTTAAAAGCGCCGTTTGTCTTATTGAATGTAGCTGGGCCCTGGATCAACTGGTCCGATAACTGATACATAAATATGAATTCGAGCTTTTCCAAATTCATATTTATCTACTAACTATTAATGTGTTCGAGTTCCGAAAAAGATTATAATTTATTTAAATAAATTATATCTAATATAGTCTTATTACTGTACTAAATAACATTGTAGGAGCTATTCAGTTTAACGGTATAGCCCAAGTATATTTAGTGTCTGGTGCGCTTCTCTAAGTTCTACATTTGTTTTGAGCGTAGACTGACAGAATGGAATGAAAATAGTAGTTGGCTGAAATCTGCGATAAAACAAGTCACTCAGTTCAAATGGCTGGAATTTCGCCCTATGGGCAATTTAGAACGTAGCTAGGCTAGTGAAAGGATTAAGAGTTTAAAATACTACGGCACCTCTTGTTCTTATGATGTGGCTCTAATGCATATGAAGTTTTTTATTTATCCAGCTGGTACAAAAAAGGTTAAAAAATAAAAAAATATATAATCATCAAGCGGTTGGCCTGATTCACCTTGTGCCAAACGGATTTGCTCTGGATGATTTAGTCTGATTTAGACGCTGATTACTCTCCTGTCAACATACCTTGTATGTCCACGTTTATTAAACTATCTTGATGATAATAACAGCTTCGGCCATTTCCTTTGACGCAGTACGAATGGACCCGTCCTTACATCTACCTGTTTCCAAACTGTTGCTTTTAGATCTTATTAGTCGTAATGGTTACGGTGACATATAATTACATGAAGAACCTTGTCAAATAAAACAACGGAAGCTTCTCTTTCGCTGCTACGTTGGCTTTTTAAAAATAATACTCTTTTTTTTTTGTTTTATTGATACAAGGCGCGTATATGCGCATATGTAAATATGACGGAGACCTAATCTTTATCGATATCTTACGCGCAATCATTGCAGCTGAATGGTCGGAACCTTTGTTTTCTCTCACTGACTTGTTCTGCCAATTTATCTCTTGATTAAATACGTTTCTGAGACTCTTATAACTTGCTGCTTCCTTATAACTAAGAAAATGGTAGATTTTTCCTAAGCGTTGAATGGCTGCGTAGAAGCTATTGAACTTACTTCAGCAAGATGCTCAAACTCATATATTGTTGATGCCAATCACTGTTCTTGCCCTCAAAATACCTCAAGCAATAAATTTTGGAATCGTGTGTCGTCCTGTAGCGTACACACGTTGCTTTCAAGCCTGACTAACCTTTGCACAGGCCAAGTATCCAGATAGAAGATAGAGAACGTATGCCTCACAAGCAGAGGAAAAAGCACTTACGAACTGTCCTTGCTTAAGGGCAGGCTGCAGTAGGCCGTTGAAATTGAATCTCTGTCAGTAAACCCTATGTCGTATTCCTGTTGTTCCTTTCACTGGTTCCTTTCTTGATAGTTCGTTTCTCTGCTTATCTCGAACCGCTCATAAGGTGGACTATGCCTTCGATGTGTGCGTAGGTAACCTGCCGAGTGTCAAGGAAAGGATACAGTGCGTGTAACATGAAGCACCAGGAGCGAGGCATCGGACTGCGCAGAGGGGTATTGAAGTCTGGCACTACAGTGAAGTCTGACGGTAACTTCTGCGTGCGATTGCTTACTGGCAGTGTAGAGTACGGAAACCGTGTGTAGGAGAACTTGGACCAAAAAGCCGAGGAATATCCAAACAAATAGTGCAGCAAGAAACTTCTACAAACAGACAAAATCAGACAGCAGGCAGATTAAGCTTCAAAAAAATGAATGCTTCTTGTGTCATGCCATAATCTGTATTAAGTCTCACTCACTAACAGTTGCCACTGGGGTCTGCTCCAGAATTTCGAGTTCAACTTTGTGCACTGGCAGTCGCGATCAACTACCACGCGACACTCAATGATGCAATAAACTCTACAAATCCAGCGCACCAGAGTGACAACACCAACGCAGCGCCTTGGAACATCTCATAAATGCCATTCATTGTTCTTGTGATGAAGGATATCGTGCTTAAACATGTCCGGGGAAAACAGAAATCTAAGTAGCTGTTGTAGACAACGCCAAAATGGAAGTCAGTTTCAGAAATAATTATTAATCAACAGTGGTAAACGGATGTTAATGGACAGCACAGATGTATAGAATAACTTGATACTGAAGTAATCGCGGACCGCTTATGCAAAGGCTCTTATACGAACTCAGTATGCCTCAGTAAGCGAGTACGAGGTTCGCATGAGGTATCAGGGGGCCATGTGCGCTACCCGGAGAATAAATATTAAGTTTGTCCGTCTTTGACTACCTGGAGTGGGATCAAGCGGCGCTCAGCATTGTGTCTGAGGTTCCGAAGCGTAGGGCGGATTATCTGCTCAAGAAAGGACGTTCTAGTTCTCAAAAATGAGGTGACAGTCTGTTGTTGTAGTCAAATGAGGATACTGCAAGGGATGTATGAATGGCTCGTCAACTAACTAGGCTTCGGTAAGCAGTGATAATACAGGTGTTGCGAGAAAGGTAGAAAATTTATGAGTTTATCCTTACCGAAGCCATCGTATGTCGGGACAGTCCGAACGACTGGGTTTGCCCAAATTAGCCTTGGTGTTTCCTCTCATTGGGCTCATCCAAACGTTAGATCCGTAAGCCAATTCATAGCGTGTTGTTTTCGCGGCTGTGGCGTTTTGCAAAACACAACCACAGAAGTATGTTTCTCTCTATTCCGTTGACCCGAAGTCGGCAAATCCCCCGCTGGAAAAAGGTGAGCATCAACCCATTTTGGGCAGGACGAACAGCCGCTTTCACTACGGATAATACCAGGACAACAAGGATACTTCAGTTCGTTGGTACGGTGCCTGGATCCTTTGCCGTAAAGGACGCCCTCGATCGCGTTGAAGTCCCGCACCTGTGCCACCCGCTAATTCATATTGGAAACCCCGGAATTGGAGAAATTGGAAATTAACCCGGTGAGATTCCACGAAGTCGTAGACAACACAATGAGAGGTCAAACTTGCTAGAAAAAAATCTTGCAGGATAAGCGTGGCTCAATCGTAATAATGCAAAGATACCATAAGAATTATAAATAAGTACGCCTTTACAATCACATTAATATGGAGCGAGTGGTTGTGAAAGAGCTCATTGTTGCTACCCAATCACAAAACCAAGTCGGTACGCTTAGCTCAAAAAAAGGGAGATAAATATAGTACCTAGCATATTTTACAGAGTAAAGTACGAACATCAATGCAATCAAGTGTTTGGTGACAGAGTCATAATATACGAATACTGTATACTACATATATAAACTGTAAAAAAGCTCAGAAAGTGTGGACTTCTAATATAAATATGATCGTATCAACATAAAATCATGTTTATATTGAACTTAGCTTATTACATAAGCGCACGACTGGTAACCAAAGCAGCACGTGTTTTTGAGGAGCGACATTTTATATACTATGAAATGTTAATAGTTGCTAATAATTAAGATCAAACAAGTCAGTATTGAGGTATAAATCGCGATCGTTGTTTAGCTTACGAGTGAAGGTGTGCTGAAGCCCGCGCAGGATGATATTTTTGTCATTGAAGAACGTACTCTTGTTAGCGTGCAATATTCGTTTGCCGACGCAAATTATCAATTTGCCAAGTTCGCCTACAACTTGGTGAGTTCATTTAAAAATTAATTCTAAAAAGTCTTGTGTATCTTGTTATTGTTCTGCTGGGCTAAAATTTTGCCCATAGCTTAAAGTATGCTACAGTCTAATGTCGTTTCTAAATAGGATTGCTATATTCTAAATAGGCATTTTGTAAGCATTGCTTAAGCTGTATTGAGAACACTCTTGAAATGACTTTTTCAAACTAGTGATAATATCAAAAATTAAGGGCTAATTAAAAGGCGAGAAGGTAGGTGGTCAAGAGTTGAATCTTTCGTGTTATTCCCTTGGTCGTACTGCTGTGCTGAAATTTTCTTGTTAGAACTATTTCAAACCTTATTGCTAAATATGCAGGCACACTAATTTTAATAGGTTGTAAAATCTTTCAGTGTAAAAATTTCTTACCAGATTTACAGCCGACCAAAGAAATTAACATGTCAATAACCGAAGTAATTTTGAGCATATCTTACATAAATACAGATTTTGGGGTAACTAGGGTTAACTCAGCGATCGAGAAAACTCAAACCCTGTCTGAAACAAAGAAAGCTAAAGTTAAGGGTTACGTCTTCTCACTGATAGTCCTTAATGTATAATCTAGGTTAGGGCAACAGTTGGTTATATGTTTAACAGCGGTGAGGGTTCTAATGTTCAATTTAGCATTCTACCTCGTCGCTAGTTCGAATATGTATATATACATACACCATATGTGTGTTAATAAAAGAATGATATACATTGAAAGTCTTCGCGAAGCTTGGTGCACCAAAAGTTTGGTGGCGAACTTCGCGACACGGCATGCTCCAGCTCACTCAACCTATATCGAGTGAAACGATCATAGGTATTCCTTCGTCATAGCACAAGGGGATTAGGTAGCGACCTTAGATTTTCCAGCATTGAGGCCCGACCTATTCCTTTTCTCTTATCAAAGATTTTGAGCTCCACTTTAAGGTTTTTAGTTTCAAAGTTGCTTGACAGGTTAATTCTTCTTCCGGTGAGGTTGGGTGGGACACTCTAAAAGTAACTGATGTTTCCAAGTTTCAGACTCCGCTGGTTAGCTGCCAATATTTTGCCCAATATATGAGAACAGTGAATCTTCCCGATGAGTTCGCATATATTTTCTATTTATGGTTAGCGCTACAAATAAAACGAATCTGCGTACCCCCCCCCCCCCCCCCGGTGTTAAATTATATACATATATGTAATTTCTCTAATAGTTGAATAATTAGGCCACATTAGGGTAAATGTG